TTATTTTCCATGTGGAGGAAATAAGAATAGAGGGGCATCATAATATAAAAGGGGGTCCATTCTGAAAGCGTTGGTACTAACTTTCAGTGAGTGTAATATTTTCATATGAAGGAACATTTTACTGACATAAATATCTCTAAATTTTTACTAGCAAAATTGATGTAAAAAAGAGGTGTAAAAGCACCATAATTTGTCCTAGATTCCTTTGCCAATTTTAAAGGTTTTTAGATTAAATGAATTTGATTTATATATCTGGGTCACTTCTTCACAAATAAATCATTTAAAAAGTCGCAGTTAATTCATATTAACAGGCTGTATGTAGGATATTCGCATATATGATAGAACAACTCAAAGACACAACCAAAACTACATGTCATAAAAACTACGTTAGCATTATTGACCGGAGATTCTGACAAACCTTTAAAGATTATGTGCTCTACTTTTATTTAAGAAGTTTATATTGTTAGATATCTTAATATGATCTATCTAATATATCTTCTTTTTCAAATAAAACGACAAAAAATCAATATTAAATACCTTACCTTTTATAATGAAATATTAAACAACAATACCATAAATACAGAGATGCATTTTTCTATCTATATAGATCGAGCATGATGTAAGAATAACCTGTCCGCCTTTTTGTACACGTAGGAAATTTGCTTCGACCACAATTGTTTATAGAAACACTTAAACGTTATTTGAACTGCCTTGATAATTTTTACCTTAACTAAATTACCCAAGTTCAAAGATGTACTTCAATAGTATTCAGAAGTTAGGAAAACAAAGGTGACAGAACGTAAACAAAGCATGATTTATCTAAGAACCCATATCCATTTATCTTAATTTGATATACTCCTGTGGTACGTTGATGCATTACATACTTTCATTCTTTTTAAATAATAAAGTCACTCTTACATGAATCAGTTAAAGCAAAATGACGCATTTTTGTATATGCCACATTCTGTGTCCCCATTCAATACACATGTACCAGTAGCACCACAAATTTATATTGTCAGAGATTGACAATATGTGAGTGTAAGACTCCGACTTGACTCCGAATACGAATAAGAACATGAAAGATAAAATTTCTGGGACAAAGTCATAAAAATCATTAATTATTCTTATATTAATCATTATATTTGTTCTTGATTAAATAACAATTTTGGTCGATTAACAAAATTTTCACAATTTCAACTATGGTTCCAAATTTATGACGTTGGTGACTACACAGTGTTCTTATGATTTTATAGCATTTAGGTTCACCAACTACATGTTAGACTTGATATTTTGTAATAAGTTTATTGAGTTTCCTACACTTTCTCTGTATATTTTCCGGCTTTCGTATTATACGGTGTATGGTGTAAGGCGTCACAACTGGATAACGGTTTTCATATATTTCATCCTCTATTAAATGCATTGACCGGAAAAGGGAAAGTTTTTGTCCACCCAAACAATAAACTGTTAGTTATCGTCTCAATGTCGCAGAAAATCTTATTCCGAATTCAGGCTGCTGGTAGCTTGAATTGCTCACTTGCTGTCCCTCTGGTATCTGTCGTCCCTCTTTGCTAAATATAAAATTCAAAATCATTAGCAACAGCAGCAACAATCTTTCACACACTAAGTAAGTTTGAATTTGATACATACTGCTATCCCGATCTTTTATAGATCTATATTGCTTATCATTTGAGCTGGTACAATTTCTTTACATCTATGTTTGTTCTCACGATCACAGCCAAATACGCAAGAAATGGTTAAGAATGGTTAATAAACGGCAATAGCTCTTGATTCGTAATTTATCTTTAAACAACCACATATATTAAATCAATAATACCAAACACACCGACAGCTATATGCAAAATTTAGATATAGAGAGTGACAAATCTTGATAGGGCAAAGGTAACAAGAGAGTCTGTGTCGCACACCTAGGTCTATGGGCACCTTCAACAATGGACACTCTCAAACATTGAAATCATGAAAAAAAATCTTTTTTGTTGAAATTACATTGCTTATCTTTTTTCTGCTTTTCTCTATCTTCCTTGGTTTTTGCCCAAAACAAAAAAGGGTAAAAAATGTTTTGAAGTGCAATTACTCCTGTAACGAGTCAAGTTACGATTTCGGCAAAATTTGATTTATTTGTAGTTCATGTCTTTTTTGTTTCTTTAATTTTTGCCATTCTAAGTGTATTGACCAATTGTATATCTTCGACATGATCTTAAAAGATGCAGCAAACTCTATTCGATTTTAATATAGCTATTTTGGATATTGTCCCATATCATATCATTTCGGTATATAATTCTAAAACAGATTTTTAAAAGATGTAATTGACCACAATAATAATGTTTCTAATATGCATATTGTGACTCATTTGGACAAGCCTTTTTGACATAAAGCAATCATCATTTAATCAATAAATCATAAATAATAGTTCGAAATGAATAGGTAATCCCAACTATGTATTGGCTTCCGAAGCTACACAAAACACCTTACAAATATAGATTCATTTCGTCTTCAAGCCATTGTTCCACTACTAAATTGTCTATTCTTCTTACCAGTACACTTGGTACAATCAAAAATCTGATAATAAATTGTTCAAATAAGGCCTTCGAAAATAGTGGAATTAATTACTTTTGGAGTGTCAAGAACTCATTGGAAGTACTTGATAAATTGCATGCATATATTGGTGATTTTGAATCTGTTCAAAGTTTTGATTTCTCTACCCTATATACCACATTGCCTCACATTCTCATTAAGAAAAAATTCACACAACTAATTAAATGGGCATTTAAAAAGTCAGAATGTGAATATATATGTTCAAACTCTTTTAGGTCATTTTTTAGTAGCAATAAACAAAAAAACTATGCCAATTGGACATGCTTTGATACTATATATGCCCTTGAATTTTTACTAGATAACATTTTTGTTCGCTTTGGAGATTCCGTATATCGTCAGGTTATCGGAATTCCAATGGAGACTAACTGTGCACCACTTATTGCGGACCTTTTTTTGTATTGCTATGAGTTACAATTTATGACAAAAATCAGCAAAGACCCATCGAAACAACATCTGATACACAAATTTAATAATACTTTTAGATATTTGGATGATATTTTGGCTCTCAATAATGACGACTTCAGTATGTATACTAAAGAAATTTATCCTGTTGAACTTACTTTAAATAAAGCTAATACCAACAATGACCACTGTCCTTTCCTCGATCTTGATATCTATATCATTAACGGGAAGCTTAATACTAAAATATATGATAAAAGAGATGATTTTTCATTTCCTATCGTTAATTATCCATTTTTAGATGGTGACGTTCCCTTGTCACCATCTTACGGTGTTTATATATCTCAACTTGTACGATTCGCTCGTGTATGTAACAATGTTTTAGATTTTAACGAGAGAAATTTATGTATTACTGAAAAATTATTACACCAGGGTTTTCGATATCACAAACTAGTCAAAACATTTACTAAATTTTATCATCGGTATAAGGACATCATTCGTAAATATAGCTCAACATGCAGACTTCTTATACGTTCAGGTATTTCACATCCAATTTTTTATGGAAATATTCTTTATAAAGCACAAAAAAGTCAGTATTCACCTCTGAAGCTAACAAAACCTTTAAATAGACTTATTAAGAAGGGATATAGTTACGATACTGTTGTCAGGTCATTGAAGATTGCATATTTTGGCATTAATATTGATTCACTTATAGGGTCTTTGCATCGGCACTAAACACATTTATTTAAAAACCAGTTGTTGGCATGACACGGGTTATGTTCTTCTCATATATGTTATGATGGTATGATACTAAACCCCTAACGGGAAGGATTGTGCCTGATATTCATATGATGAAGACATAATCTTTCAATCAGTTTAATTGAAGTCTGGAGCTGGCATGTCAGTTAACTGCTAGTAGTCTGTTGTCATTTATGTATTATTGTCATTTTGTTTATTTTCTTTGGTTACATCTTCTGACATCAGACTCGGACTTCTCTTGAACTGAATTTTAATGTGCGTATTGTAATGCGTTTACTTTTCTACATTGGCTAGAGGTATAGGGGGAGGGTTGAGATCTCATAAACATGTTTAACCCCGCCGCATTTTTGCGCCTGTCCCAAGTCAGGAGCCCCTAGCCTTTGTCAGTCTTGTATTATTTTTAATTTTAGTTTCTTGTGTACAATTTGGAGTTTAGTATGGCGTTCATTGTTACTGAACTAGTATATATATTTGTTTAGGGGCCAGCTGAAGGACGCCTCCAGGTGCGGGAATTTCTCGCTGCATTGAAGACCTGTTGGTGACCTTCTGCTGTTGTCTGTTCTGTGGTCGGGTTGTTGTCTCTTTGACACATTCCCCATTTCCATTCTCAATTTTAATACTACAGCAGAAAAAGAAGAGGGTGACCTGACTTGTTTTTGCTGAATAGAGGGGATCTTTATAGCAGGTGTGACTGTATAGTGAACAAGATCATTATTGTAACAACCTGTAAGAAGTTGCAATGTCTTAAGACATTTTGTACTCTGTTTTAAGATAATTTAAAAAAACTGCATTAATATAAACATTTAACGGTAAAATTCAGTACTCAGGAGATATTGGTTGATTTGAATCACTATCTTATATAACATCTTTACTTTAATTCAAATATTGTTCCACGGTTCTTTTGTTGGAAGCGTGCTACTCTGCCAAGCATGTAGCATTCAGAAGTAAAAGAATAGACTTGTCAGCTAAGAGCTAGAATAATTTGTTTGAGTATGTTGATCTATCTTCCTGTTAGCAGCTGTTTATTACCATGTGCATGTGATGTGAGCTGCTAGCATATTAAAATCAGACACAGCATATCAGTCAAATACAACACATAGGACATTCATTTCTCATTAACATGTTATCATTCAAAATATGCATGTAGTATTTTACACTGGACTTTTAACAGCCACAAACCAATTAATCTTAAATGTTTGTTTGGGTCTATTGATGATACTGAGAGTCTATAGATATTATTACATTTATTAGCCACATATAAAATATATATTTGTTCACAACAATACAGAACATTTTACATAAATGGATTTATATATATCACAACCAGTTAGAAAATGATAACATGAGTGCGTCGGATAGAAATCGACCGTATGCAAGTGCATGTATACAAGTACATGTATACTGCTTTGATTGATTTCGCAACATTCAAAACGAACTAAAAGATAAATTTGGGTCTGTTTTGTAGGGATCTTATATCAACTTAATTTTCAAACAGTTACAGACTTTGCATAGGGATTTTTCAACCCAAAATAAGTTAACAGATGAATTGATATTCATTTGCATAAGATCGATTTCTATCCGCACACCTTATGTATAATGAAACTGTGTAGTTAATTATAAAGTTAAAAAATGTGGACACAGAACAATGTCAATCTGCATCTGGAAAATGGCTGATAGAGTTGTTCCTGAAAACTGAACCTGAAATGTACCATATATGCATACAAAACAACATATAAAATATCAATGATCGATGGAATATATTCTTGACAATTTTAATGGGATGATTATTACATGAATTGGATTTAGATTTCAATAGACATCTTTTATATTAATGGTTCATAAAATAGCAGATTCTACCATTTGTATTTCTGAAGAAAAAAATATCTTACCAAAATTTATTTAAATTGATGGCCTAGCACCTTTGTAAAAAAAATTAAATAATTGTGACATATATTTACTTTGTTACTGCAAATAAAACTATATATGTACATGTTAATCTACTGTTAAAATTTCTTCTAGATGATATAATAAGACAGTGGAAAATAGGATTCCATGTCTCATGTGTTAAAACTTGCTTTCACTTAATTTACATGTATGACTTGTAATAAAACATTTTTATTTTCAAAATTTTCTACTTACACAAAGAAATATTTTAAACAAAAATTTGTTCCTTTAAATATAAAGTACCTGGCTGTATAGGAAAACCAAATGCTTGTTTTATCATTATTAACAGTATACCCAGTTCAAGGAAATATATCAAATAATCGGAATATCTGAAGATTTAACAACACTAAAAAAAAATATTCCAGTTGAACCTCAATAAGTCGAAGTTGGAGGGACCTGACATAACTATTCAACTCATTAGATGTTGGGGTCATCCAAGGTCTCCAGGTCATCATGTTGTACCATTTCAATATTGTACCTTTTGTTGTCAGCCTGATATGTATTGGCAAAAAAACGTATTTTTTTATACCAATCTATATGCATCGACAGAACATGCAGTATTAAAAAGTTATTGATTTCATAAAAAAACACAGAACAGGCCAATATATAGTTCACATCTGATGTTTATAAAGATAAGGAAATACAGAAGTATTTGCGAATCGAAACAAATTGTTACAGATGTATAATTTTCCAACTTTCTCCTTATCTGCTATTTGCTGAGGTCAAGTCTAAATCTTTAAAGAAAAATTTGATAAACAACAACTATATAAGTTTCATAATTCATTGATCTTTTATGAATTTCTCAGCTTGGGTCTATTAATTCCTTCCATAATTATCGCTGCTAAAATGTTTCACAGACATAACTTTCTGCATGGTCAAACATTGAATTTGTTGACAAACAATAAGTGTAATATGCCAATCTGATTGTTATACAAAATAGTTGAATAACATAGATCTATTAAGGAAGCTTTATTTGATTCATTATATCTAATTGAAACTGGTTTTTTTTCCAATATTTTTTTTACTTCAAAGTATGACACACTGATGTAAATTTATGTTAATTTTTCTACCAGGGGACGCTGAAAATATATTTGAGTTAACCGAGATTTCGAATCAACCGTGTTTGACTCATCAGCATTACAAATGCCTTGAACCTCGATTTATCAGTGTTTTCAAAGGAACCAAATTCAACACAACGAGGTTCAATTGTACTTTTAAATTATCTTAAAATCAAAACTTAAAGTTGACAATTATAGTTTTTACATGGTCTTATGATAAAAATACAATATAAAAACATCACAAAAAATTTAAGTATGACAACTCTTCAAAATCATCCATGTTTTACACAAAATAGCTTTCAAGAAATAGATTCAATCATTATCATCAGTTATCACTTCTAACTTGTAAATCATTAGTTTTCTATTTACATAAGAAATAATAAACAATCAAAGTTGGCAATGGATAATCTACACCATGTAAAAATCATTCTGAAGCGAAATTATATAAAAAAAAACATGTTACATGCCTCAGTTTACAAATGTTAAACATTAAATTCATAGACACTTACAAAACATATTATAACTACATGCATTTAGGGAGTTCATCACATTCAGTTGGATATGTAATGGATTGATATGACTGTATAATTACTGAAATATACACATAGTGTAGAGATGTATTGTTTGATATGCATAATTGATTCAATATGAAAGATTTAAGCTGATTTCCAGAGACTCTTTCAATAAAAAATTTTTTTACAATTTAAATCAATTGTAAATTATACTATTCTCATGACTTAATTAAGAGTCTATTTGCTGTTAAGATTTTTTGGTGATGAGTGTTGCAGGTTCATACTTTATGTCTATCCCTTTCAAACACTGTCATGTCATCAGGCCAAAGCCACTCTTGCACAATACCTAAACTTTACAGAATATCATCCAATGAAGTAAGAATAACACAATATTTATAAAAAACAAAACAGCATATGTCCATAAAATGATTTTTTGATTCTTGTAAATATCAATAAATGTTTTTAAAAATGTATCTGTACAATTTGGTTTTTCTTCATCAATATGCCCACCATAGCTCTGTTATATAATGCAAAACATCATAGACTACAAAAAATCAAAAAGTATACAAACAAATCAAGAGCAGGAAAAGGAAACAAAATTGCTTTACAAAATAATTCTGTGTCTTACCATTAAAGAAAAATCAGGACAAAATAAAAACTTTAATCTTTTACAATATTATTATTTAGTCTTTTTTCTGTAAACCAACTGTCCAGAAAAGTTAAATCTTTGACTTGAATAAGATATAAAGCCATTTAGATAACAAATTAGAAAAAATTGTAAAATTCATACCAATCTGATTAAGATGCAAATCCTGTTTCTAGGCTATGCTTACAAAGATCTGACAACAATCCGTTTTACTTTCTATTCTGATAATCATTACATCAGCCAATGAAATTTCAGCTTTCAAATTTTTGAAGGGTTGTATTAATCTAACAAAACCAGAGGATCCCGAAAGTTCTTTAGAACAGAAAGTAGAACCAAGCATTTTCAGATCCTCGTAAGCAAATCAGATTGAATTTATACCAAAATAGATATGTTTAAAGAAAACCCACAAATAATACAGCATACACACAGGGTTTACAGAAAAAAAAAACAATCAGAAATAAGAAAAAAGTTTTCATTTTAGCCTGTCTTAAAAATAAAGTTTATATATAAAAGCTTATTCTTTTGCTGTGAAAATGCACATAATATACACTGATTAAAATGGCACAATAAAAAATCACTGATTATACTCATGTGATGATTTTCACAACAAGCAAATTATTACAAAAAATAATAAAAGAGTAATCAAAAGTCTAGCAAAGATTGACTAATCAAAAGTCTAGAAAGATTAAGAAGAGACATCATGAATATTTATGAGATAGAAAGTGAATTTTAATGAGCTGGGTGGGCTGTAAGCTGTCATCTTGATCCTCCGTCTCGACTGTTCAATTCTAATTCTTCCATGTCCACAGCATCACGATACTCTGTTAGTTCTTTGGAGATCTTTAATCTGGTGTAATTTGTGGCAAGTGTTAGAAGAAAATTTGTCTGAAAAATAGAATATGAATTTGCAAAGTAACAATTACATGTTCAGGTCAATGATAACATTATATGTACAATACTTTAAAATCCAAACTAGCTAAATTTATCATTTGGATAAAAATTACCATTATGCAGTATGAGATTAAATGAGTCCAAGCAAGAACATTTTGCTTTCAAAAGCTTTTCATTTTAAAAAGTCATTGCCAACAGGCATTCTTTCCTAATTTTTTTTCCATACTCCTATTAATTCTGATTCCAGCAGATCTATATACATGTAAGCCTATAGTTAAAGACTAATTTATAATTATTAGATATTGTTTTCCAAATTGCTTTAAATTTCACATTTCATTTTAAAGAAGTAGACATTTAAATATAATTGCACTTTTAAATATAGTTCAATTAACTGAGGACTTTCGTTAAATTACTTAACTCTTTACCTGCTGTTGTAAATTCTAATTTTGAACTAAAGCTAACATAACAAATGACATTTATTGTATTTAAAAGTTAATTATTAGTCTAACTTGGATAGAAGTTATGCTTTAAAATAACCCATAAAACAAAATGAAAAGTAATCATACTGTGTACTCTCCATATCACATGAATTCAAACAGATAGAGATTATTTCATTAGATATTCATTCAAAAACAGAGCCTGTTGTCTATTTATTCTATTTTTAGAAAATATAATTTTCATTAAAATCACTTGATCTGTTTGTTTGTTTGTATTTTCTGATCTAACTTTATGCATAAAACATATCAAAGGTAGCTTTGACGGTGGATACACTTGATGTTTTATAATGTTTGAAGCCCACTGTGAATCTATCAGCAGACACATATAAAATGCATTTCTTCTACCAACCAACAACTACAAAACTAATAATTATCTAGACCTTACTATATATAAGATTAAATATAAGAATAAACTTACCATTCCCATTATAATTACAACAGCTCCAGCACATGCCACACAAAACAGAGGTCCTGCTTCAGCTATCTGTAAAGGTGTAAAATGGCATAGAACTAGTTTGTTATTATTTTCAATACAGTACTTTTTAGATTGATGATGATGATGGATGGCTGCTTAACATAATATGAATATTTACCCTGCTTTGTACTAGACCTGAGCCAGATTTTTAACTTGCTAGTTCAACAAGGTAACAGTCCGTAGGAAGACATGTCACTTACCGGGACACATTATTCTGATTCCCAGCTGAGCAGTCTTTGCTCTTACTTCTTAATGCTGCATTCTTAGGGGAGATGCTGCAAATACCAATTTTTTAAGTCTTTGGTTTGACCTTGCCAGGATTAACCCATGACCTCCCACACTCAAGGCGAACTTGCTACCACGAGACCACCGAAGTGTTTTTCAGATTGAGATGAGATATATATTCATCATGTGCATTACTGTTTAAAATCTCCAATGGAATAAAAAAATAAAGAAAAAATGCAAATGTGTTACTTTAAAAACTGCTGTTGAATAACGTGTATGAGTTATAAGGGAGACAACTGGTGTTTTTTTTACAAATATTCAAAAACATTTCTGACTAAGAGGAGATAATTAAGTAACATAAAAGAATGCATTGTAATTTTATCTATTTTGTTAAGAAGCAAAAAATGAAGCGTGTGCATGCCATTTTTTTTTTTAAAGTTTCTAAAGGCAGAATATGACCTATTCCTATATTTTCTTTTACAATTCTATCATTTAGTTTTCTTTCAAGTCACATAACAGTGCCTTTTCAGTGCATAATACAAAGTATGAAAATTAGCCTCATGCAGCCTGTAGCTTAAATACAAAAATAGGGACCTATACATTTTATCATTTTTTTTAAAATACCATAATATAAATAACTGTTTGGTAACATATACATTGTTTTTATGATTTTCTGTTTATATACCATACTAATTCAAGAATACTACATTTATTTTTTGCCAATATACCTTATCACATAATCTCCTCAGGTCATTAGGATCACAAACACTTTCTTTTCCTGGTGGCAACTGTCCAATAGCAATGTAACTTTGATTTCTATAAATTCCTGTAAAAATATAACTTAGTTTATTTCATATTTTGTTTTGTTCAGTTAATGTATTTTCAAAGTAGGCTCATATATACAGTGAGCAGACATTGTTCTAATATTATACATGCACAAAGCACAAGGTATTGTACTGTGAGGTATTTTTGGCCATTCCTGTTCCCTTTTTTATACAATATACCATCTTATTTTGCATATCGCATCAAATAATAAATTTAAGGCCTTATAAATATTATTTGTTATGGGAGAACATCACATACAGAAAACATTTTTTTGTTTATGAGAGAAAAATACAATAGCAATACAGTGTTCTCCCCAGAATTTTTGGATAGCACCAGGGTAACGCGTGTCAAAATGATTTATACAATATGTCGTGTCGCGTTGCATCGCTTTTTTTTTTCTTGTTAGTTTTTGTGTCATTACCTTTTTGTCTTTGTTTTGTTTACTGTATTATGTAGACTTTGGGTCAAAAAATTACTGGTAAAAAAAATAAACAGTTTGTATACTTTAATTTCTTTTAAGAATAAATAAAAGAAAGCACTCTTAGTCTTTAAACTAAAGTCACTTTTTATATTTTGATCAAGCCAATTTGTCCTGATACTTGTAGTTACACTACACATTCCCCATTTTTGTTAGATTACACCATAACAATTAAATTTAAACAAGATTAAATTTTAATGCAGAACCTTTAGTAAATTAAAAACTATTTTCCATAGCTTTACTTGACATGATTCTTTTAAACAACAATACAATTATTATTATAATCATTATTGTGTTACTTGGTAGACAGACATGAAGAGTAAATTTATATCATCTATCTGTGCACCCATGTATCATATCCAGCTGAGTTCCAATCAGTGACTAAAGACTTTGACTACTTTCAGTTACAAATTGGAAACTACTACCTATTTATTATAATATGTCTGTGCATTAATGAAAGTATGATTATCAAAAATAATTTGCAATATATTTTTGTTGGTATGTTCAAAGAAATTTTTTATCCTTAAAGTAACATTCTTATATAATTTTGCATTCAATTTGTACTTTATTTCTATTTTCAATGATAGATAATATATTAGGAGCACTTATTTGTAATAAGCTAAATCAGGGGAAGTAACTCCAACATGTTTAAAATACGCAAATTATTTATGACCAAAGGCTGGAGTGATAGAGTTATTTAACAAATGTCTGCTTGTCCCTCACAAGTGTGATAATTAATTATGATCTCTTTATTAATTAAAACACAAAAGAATCATGTACATCGATTAAATCCAATCATCAAGGTTAACCTCAAAAGGTAAATCGATCACGTGGTGTAAACAATCTAGTTGTAAGAACTGGATTGAACTGGTTTGAACTGGTCAATTTTCATCTGAAATTTTATACCCACGGAAAAGGTTTAACAAGTCCTTTAAAACTTTACCGATTTACAATTTTTTTCCCGAAAATTTAAGCACCACGGAGAAAAATTATACATCGCGGCAAGAACGATACCACCACGGTAGAAAATTATACATCGCGGGCCCGCGGTCCTTTAAGGGCCTGGGGAGAACACTGGCAATAATTACAGAAGATATCTATAAGTCAGTGGTCATGCATGTATATTAAGTACAGACTGAATCAAAGCAAATATTCTTATTTCAAAATGTTACATACCATAGTGGTTAAGATTGATACATGTCACTTGACCATTTTGATATTTATTGTACACACTATTATCACATCTGGATGAGACCATGAGGTACGCAACAACTGGGACGACGCCCACTCCTAACATACCAATCCATACAAGATTCAGTAGGTATGATATACACATAAACTGTAAAAACAAAGAGTTTGAAAAATACAAAACACTTCAACACAACATAAATTTCCTAAATTTATGGTTATATATGTTATATAGATACAATGGATAAGCTTGGATTCTTGAAAAAGAAACCATGATCCCGGAGGGCGAATGGTTTGTTTTTCATGAATCTACGCTTATCCATTGTATCTATAACTTAAACTATTGTGTTAATTTCTTTTCAAAATTAAAGCCTTTTCTTAATTAGAAGGTATTGTAAGTGAGTATAAGTAACCATGTTATCGTGTCCAACGATCTATTGATAATTCTCAGATCACAATTAATTGGTTAACAAAATACAAATATAACACTTCTACCTTTATAGATCTTTATATTATCAGGCATCTGAATATTATCTGTTTTTACAAAATAAGACATATTCGAACTTATTTCTAATAAAATTGAGAATGGAAATGGGGAATGTGTGAAAGAGACAACAACCCGACCAAAGAGCATATATAAAGTATATATATATAATAAGTATGTTACCGAAATTTATAGCACCATAGGCACATCACGATTTTCTAGCATAGGAATTTGCAGACAAATATTTGTAAAATTATGTAGTAAAACTGATGAAATCATAACAAAAATTGACAAATAGAATGTAATCATTTTTGTTTCAAACATGTGAAATAGCCAATAATAATCCAAAAAATAAACGGTAAAACACGCTATTATTACAAAAATATCCACTATAACATGCAAAATTAGAAAAAAAACAGAATTGGGACAACAGAGATAATACAGGGATTCGAACCTAAACCGACAAATCCCTATCTTTTAACTCATTGATTCTAAGCATGCTAACCTCACGGCTAACAAACTTATACTACACGACTGCCCATTGTGTATATATAAAGGTACAACCCCTGTGTGTCCGATGTTCATTTATATATATAAAATAGACATCTAAGTTGTAACCCATTGGTAGCCGAGAAGTTTCGTCGATGTGTTGATGTCAGTCATTCATAACAGATTTCAAGGAAGGGTTCGATTCCCAGTGAAGGCATATACGAATTACAAAAATTAAAGGTAAGTTTTTAAATTATATTCCATTAGTGAACAGAAATCAGTTAATTAGCCAATTCAAACTTGATGAAATTAGACACACAAAGGAAACAATTGAATAGAATTTGGTGAGTCCATTTCAGCGGCAGATTTAGGAAGCGTTGATTCTAGAAAAAGAATCCACGGTAAATGAATAGGCTGACGTCACCACAATGGTTTAAACATGTATGACAGCTTGATGACTTAAAAAATTCGTAAGGGTTCCGCGGAACCCAGTGTCTCGCCTACTTTTTCTGTTAATGGCAGGCTCAACAAAAATGAGGAAGTAAATCAATAAAAATATTCCTGTTGATACTATCTTTTGATTGTAAGAAGCTTCTGTCCAAGTTTGGTAAAAATCCAGGATAGTTTATGAATCTAATAAATGTTAAAAAACTTTAACTGCAGACTGAATGTAAATGTTAACTGGAAGAAAACAAAATTTCCTTCTAGATACTAGCATTTGATCATAAACAAGCTTCTGTCCAAGTTTGGTACAAATCCAAAATAGTATAAGAAAGTTATTAAAATTGTAAAAACTTTAACCACAGAGTGAATGTGTTGTTTCCTGGCAGAAAATCTAAGTCCATTTAAAAGTAAAATACGGAAAAAATGGATTTATTTTTTTACAAAATTTCCTTCTGGATACTAGCTTTTGATCATAAACAAGCTTCTGTCCAAGTTTGGTAGAAACCCAGGATAGTTTAAGAAAGTTATTAAAATTTTAAAAACTTTAACCACAGAGTGAATGTAATATTTCCCGGCAGAAAAACTAAGTCCATTTATAAGTAAAATATGGAAAAAATGGAATTTTATTTTTTCAAAATTTACTTCTGGATACTATCTTATGATCATAAACAAGCTTCTGTCCAAGTTTGGTAGAAATCTAGGATAGTTTAAGAAAGTTATTAAAATTTCAAAAACTTTAACCACAGAGTGAATATTTGTGGAAGCGCCTACGACAACGCCGACGACGACGACACCGACGCCGACGGAATGTAGGATCGCTATGTCTCGCTTTTTCGACTAAAGTCGAAGGCTCGACAAAAAACATCTAATATATACTTTTTTTTTCTTAACTGATTTTTCTAGTTTGTTCATATGTTGTACTGTTACACCACTGTCCCAGGTTAGGGGAAGGTTGGGAGCCCACTAACATGTTTAACCCTGCCACATTCTGTATGTGCCTGTACCAATTCAGGAGCTTGTAATTCAGTTGTTGTCTTTTGTTGCTCTATATCATATTTGTATTTCGTTCATTGAAGGTCATACGATGACCTATAGTTGTTAACTTCTATGTCATTTGGTCTCTGGAGGAGAGTTGTCTCATTGGCAATTATACCACATCTTCTTATTTTTATATTTGTTAACCAATTCTCTTGCAAATGTTAAACTCTATTTAAATAAATTTATAAAGTGCTATTTACAAATTATCATGTGTAAGGAAACCATCATTGCTCAAGCAGAAATAAGAATGTCTAATGTAAAACCACATGACCAAACTGTTTCAAATGCCCAAAAGTTAAAATTTTGGTGAGGGTGCCACCTTAATTATCTGATATGGCATATAAACCCAGTGAGGTTTATTGCGTGATCATCTTATAAGAGTAGAAAGGATGCATGCAGCATTGTTGCATGTGTGGATTTTTTTTTAATGTAAAAGCATGAAGGTAAAATATCATTTCATAAATTTTACACTGATTTACTACAGGTTAAATTATTGATAAAAATAAAACCATCAAGTGGTTATTAAGAAACTCCTTATTTTGTTTGTGTTGGTTTTTTTCTTCTTCTTCTTTTGCGCCATTTAAATTTTCTGTCCAATTTATACAAATGTTGAAATAAAATGTAATGTATGCATGCTATTATATATGGCATTGTTTAATATGTTAAATGGAGGAGACTTCATAGGTCTGTTTGACTTGTGTCTAATCCAATTTGTGTTTATGCAAATAAATATGTTAAAACTAAACTCCTATAAACAGTTTTTTTTTTACTTATTCACTTTAACTACATTGTACTTACAAATCCTGCAGACACTCTGCCTCCCATAATGCATTTGTTACCAGAGTAAACATTTTTCCTGGTAGCCCCTGTTGCTAGGAAACCAAACACCAAAAGGAGAATTGCAAACATTCCCATGACAACACCTATGACAACAAAAACAATCTGTATAACTTCTAACCTGAAATTTAAAAATCATTACTACAATATAACAACATTACTGTATGTTTCATAAGAATCTTTTTTTATGATTGGCGGACAATAATCAAGTGGCATTCCAAAATAAGTTTTCATTCCCCAACAAAATACAATCCAACATTCATGACAGCACATACTTCCTGTGACAACATCACAGCAATGAAGAGCAAATGAAATGAAAAAATTGATATTACTTGTAATTTCACAGTTGTAGCAAAAAACTATAATTATAAGGATTGAAAATATATATATATATGAAAATTTGGTAGCTTGTAATGCTAACATTTCTCAAAATTAGTAAAACTAAATACAATGTATTAAGGACTGTTGTCACTATCAAAGTTTTCTTGTACAAGTTTTTGATGGATTTTTTTATAGTGACAACTGTCAAAGAATTGGATGGAAGAGAATCTCATCCTATTTTTCAAAAAGTCTGGTTTTCATTTGGACGGAATAGAATCTCATCTATTTTTCATTAAGTCTGAATTTTACAATTATATATAATGATCAAATGTTCATTCTGACACCAAGATTTCTTAAATTCACATTTTGTAGAAGAAAATAAATTTCTGACTGAATTTTTTAAAATTATATTTTACCATGGTACATTAAATCCAAAAATATCCTCCAGAATCTGTGTAATAAAGATCTGTAATGCTCTGTAAAGGGTTCCACAGTATACACCAACTCCAAAAAATACAAGTAGTGCTGATATCAATGAGGCAAAGGCACAATTGCCAATGTTCTCACAAGCTGTAAATAAAAATATTCAAACAAAGTCAAACAGATTTTATGTATAGCCTATCTTTTTTGTTGTCTCTGATGCACATTTCTTTATTTCTTCATCTTGAATATGTAAATTGTTTCTAACACTTCATGCTGCATTGTGTTACAGAAACCAAAGCATAAGAGTGCTACAAAAGCAATTGCTGCCAAGTCAATGTTTTTGAGATTTATACAAGTTTTTATCCTTATATAAAAGAATTACACCATGAACAGCGGACAGGAGACTATATTGATCAAATACAGAACAGACTATTGACAATTGATTTGATCTATAGTATCTCAGTATCAAAAGGAGAAGTGACTTCTCTTTTTGAAACTGATAGGTAGAAGTGGTGAGACTTAAAAGAGAAGTATTTGTTCGGCCATTGAGCTATAATGTTTGGGTTTTATCTTACCATTAATCATGTTAATTTTTGTATCCTATCTTCTTTTTTTTGTATGATTCAAATCCAGTTTTATTTCTTGTCTAAGAATACCATTTCAGTAAAAGTAGGCTCAGCTTATGTCATAAATTGACATTTATAGTTACAGTACATGCAATTAAATTTTTCCACTTGTCAGAAACTACCAAAAATCAAAGTGCTTGTGAGCACTGAAGGGTAAAGATTGCTTTCATTTTGCAATTTTTTTGAATTTTTGAATAAAACATTGAACATTGTCTATTAAAATTGAATTGTATTTTGCTAGGTAAATTAAAAATTTGAGTAGGAGTTATCTTCCTTCGTTCATGATTGTACATTTGTAATTGAACCTATTTTTATAACAGATTTATGCACCCTGTACCCTCAAAGTATAACATATCACCAATAAACTGCATGACATTGACTGGATAGGATTTGAAAAATGCTCACTTCACTGCACTATTTTGTTTGTACTATCAAAGGTACTGATCAACCACGGAAGATATAGATATCAAGTCAGTACCATAGGGTTTTGATTGCATTTCATGCCATCTTTACCCCAAAATGTGCCAACTTACATGTATATCAAGTACTGTTGCTTACAAATATATCTACAGATAAAAAAAATTAAAAAGGTAAACTAATTATCAATAAGTTGAATAAAGAAAACTATTCTGTTTATGATATTCATGTTTTTTTATTACAAAATGTATAAATTTGACAAATTTAGCAAATTAAATCAATAGGTTGAAAAAACTAGGTTGTGTTAAAATATATACATGTAGTTGTAACTAAGTCTAACCAAATGCCTATTAATCGGCTCTGAATTCATATTTTTCACTTTGGGCTCATAATTCTCTGATCATTTGAGCATTTACATGTATCTGTGGTTAATATTGTAAAAATACGGATTTCAGTCAAAGTTGGTCTGGAATCTGCTTCTGTAACAATTTTTCAAAAGCAGATGAAGGAAAATTAACGGAAATAAACAATCTTAAGTGCGCAAGTTGGAAAGGAATATGATGTTTATAATGCAATAAATGGATCAAACGTTAATTTAAGGCCATTCATAATCACGTTTTAATGAAGTGAAACATTATTTTGCCAAAAATCAGAATCTTTTGATGGTACCCTCGAGTTACGATTGCTGGAAGTGAAAAAAAATACTTGATTAGTTGGCATAAATAGCTATCCTTTGAAAAAACATACGACCAGTCTACAAATTCAATGGGCTTAATCCTTAATTTTATTTCACACAACTGGCACTTTAAAATTCTTAGTTTTCATCTCCTAAAACCCTGTTTTTGTTTTGTAGGTACTGTCCACTACGACAAACAAAAGTTCAAGTTTTTACTGTTACAGCTACAATGTATAGATAAACCAGTCATGAATATCAATCCATTAATTTATTATACCTCAGTTAAGGTATAATCCACCTTTTTACAAAAGCAGCACAGAAAGTCAGAAGCAATTACATGTCTCTAATTGTTTTCATTAAAGCTTTAGATGGAATATGCAATAACAATACAATACAATAATAATTCATGAACGTCTCACCATCAATAATACAGTATACATGCACATTCATATAACATGCTCAAATTTCATTTAAGGATTAACAGTGAAGAAAATGCCATAATACCTTAATTAGTTTAGTATCAGTATACATTTGTATGTGAAATGGTGGGTTATATATGAATTAAGTATATCCACCAATTAATGGTTTATTTCTGACCTGTTAAAGTGTTTAACATTTTTCATGTCTGGCCTTTCATAGCCGACTATACCGTCTCATTGTTGAGGGCCGCACGGTGACCTATAATTGCTTACATCCACATCATTTGAACTCTTATGAGTAGTAGTCTCATTGGCAATCATACCACATCTCTTTATTTTGAAAGTGAGCAAGTTAGTTTTACACACCAGACACAGTTATTCCCAGGTATATATGTAACCAGCTACATCATGTGTTATTTTTCACCATCTGTAGCTTGAAAACAAGCTCGGCGTCATTGTTTTTATTATATATTTCAATATCAATATATACTACAACTTAATAGTACAAGTATGAAATTGAAAGTATGAAAAAAATCTATCATTTTTCGTTTATACTCTGCTTGATAAATTTATGCATATGACACTTACCCATCTTATAACCTTTCACGAATTTCTTAAGGCGTTTTCAGATAATTAAGGGTTGTTAATTACATTTCTAACATTAAGAAATTTCAAATTCTTCTCATTAATCATGTTTCCTGTACAGGTGTCGCTTTAGTTCCAGGTGTGTTTACATCTGTGTACATTCAGAGCTTTAAACATAAGTTACTACAACTTTGCTTCCCTGTCAAACGTTGCTATGACTATGTTTACAGGTGCGAAATCAAACTCCATACAGCGTTATCGTTCGGGTCATACTTCCCTTTCTCTACAAAGAAGCGTAGCCAGATGTCACCACTGTTTCGGAGTTTGGTGCGAAATATGCAGGTGTACAAAGTTTTAGCCACATTGATCCCTCATGAACTCGTACGTAATACAACAAAAGCCCTATATAAATCTACAAACGTTATAAGACCACAACGAACCTAAAAGGGCACCTCTGCATCGTTCAAGACCGAGATGTTATAAACTTTAAAAAAAAAAAAAAGGACCAACATATCGTCCATCGTCGAAAATAAATTGAAAAGGGTGTCGTCATGTCATTATAAAAGAGAGACGAAAATTACCAAAGGGACATTCAAACCTGGGACTATCATACTAAATAGCTTAGTATAGTCCCAGTTCAAACTCATAAGTCGAAAATAAACTGACAACGCCATGGCAAAAAAAAAAGAGGAAAAAACCAACAGACAAACAACAGTACATAAAACACAACATAGAAAACTCAGTAAACACTGGGCAACACGAACCCCATCAAAAACTGGGGATGAAAGATGCTCTTTCATCCTATTGTATTTTGATTGCTGTAAACTGGAGAAATCTGACAAAAAGTCACTTTATTCCTAATAGGCTATCAATAAATAAATGTCTAAAAATTGTTGATGTTCCCATATCACATTTCGAAAATAATTTAGAATAAATGAAACAGTAAGTAATATGCCCATTTCTAGACTAAAAACAAAATTAAAGTACTCGCAAAGCGTTTTGTGTTCGTACCGACTGACAAAGCAGCCAAAAATGTGGTGGTGGTATGAATACATATTACACGGAAGTCCTTAAGAATGAAATTATATATTCAGCTAGTGAACTACATTGAAGGCTGTGCGCTCCACAAAGAGTCAAATAGTAAATAGTCATGTCATACCCTGACAGCTCAGCTTAAGGCCTCCTCTTAACATTTGAAAGTCCATACTATGTATTGGTTACCTAAAGTACACAAAAAAAAACCCGTACAATCGTTTCATCTCGGCCTGTAGTGAATGTTCTTCTACCTATCTTTTGGTACCTTTAACTAGTTACTTCACTACTACCAAAGAACTTAAAATATCATTAACTTTTGTAATAAAGCATTTGAAAATAGTGGAATTAACTATTTTTGGAGTGTAAACAAATCTTTGGATGTTTTAGATAAATTAAGTGCTTTCGATGGTTCGTTTGATTCGGTTCACAGTTATAACTTTTCCACTCTTTATACTACACTTCCGCACAATATATCAAACAAAAGTTTTCCTATTCAATTAAATGGTCGCTTGAAAAATCTGATTGCAAATATATTAGCTGCAACTCATATGAAGCCTTTTTTCTCTAATGAGAAAGGTAAATATGCGGATGTGTGATGAGATGTTTAAAGTTGTAAATTTTCTCCCTGGGAACAGTTTTGTACGTTTCCGCAATAAAGTTTATCGACAGGTTTAAGTATTCCATGGGCACCAATTGTGCCCTTTAATAGCAGACTTGTTCCTGTACTGTAATGTATCACAGTTTATGGTCAAACTCAGTAAAAACCCGTCTAAATTCTCAGATTTGATTGACAAATTTAACAACACTTACCGTTATCTTGATGATATTTTTTCGTTAAATAATTCTCTAAATATACTGCATTAATTCACCAAAAGGAACTTACTTTAAATCAAATATTTAAAGCAATAACTGTCCTTTCCTTGATTTAGATATTTCAGTTTTACACGAGAAACTTTACGCAAAAATTTACGACAAAAGGGACGATTTTTCTTTCCCTATTTTCATTTTCTTTTTGGATGTGATGTTCGGATCCTTTGGTACCGTCTTACGGTGTTCATATATCCCAACTTTTTCCTTATGCCCGTGTCTGTAGTGACGTTTTGGTTTCAATAAACGTAATCTATGTACTTTTTAGTCTTAGATACATGGTTTCTTTTTATAAGTTGTTATTGGCTTTGAACTAGCTGTCAGTAAATTTGTATACTCTCAGATCTGTACTTTGTGTCTTTTTGTTGTGACGGGTGTATAAATACCCTGTAACGTCCAATCTGTGTTTTTGTTACATGTGTTTTCTGCTTTGTATCGATCTGATGAGTTAAGTCCTTTTCAACTGATTTTTATTGTTTGTTATTATGTTGTATTGTTACACCTGTCCCAGATTAAGGGAGGGCTGGCGCCTTCAAACATGTTTAACCCGTTTAGACATATTATGAACTTGACGGTGTGTTTTTTTACCTGCAGAAAGTTTAAACATCATTTTATTACAGTCATATAAACTTCAAATTAAAAAAAAGTTGAATATGTTTCATATACTCGAATGGCTTAGTTTTACAATGAAACAAGTGTACGTGAACTTTCTTGTAAAAGAAAATCCTTTATATTATCAAAATCTCCACAAATGTACTGATATTGAATAATTGTCTTCCCGTAAGTAATTCGCCGAAATTTTCCCGTATGCAGTTACCTTAACTACGAGACACCACTATAAAACTTCGGCCATCGCACAGCGCAAGTGCTAGGGGAGGACCGTGATTAAAGAATGTAAACAAACGTGCACTGGAGGTATAAAATACTTAAAAACAAATTTAATACAACAAATCATTTAACAACTGTTAGAGAAAAGTTTAATTAACTAATGGAAACGCATGGAAAATATCAAAAGAAAATATCATGACTCTATGAATTCAAGTTTATTTGTCACGTGCTTAGCATGCTCTCTGTTGATTATTTATCAGTGTCACGATCCGATAAACTTCGGCAAGAAACTCCAAAGTCAGTCAGCTTGAGATCAACAATCACTAAATGAAATATTATTTGTTGATAATACGTTATAGATTCGTAAAAAATATAAATAAAAAAACGTGCATACTAGACTTAGCACGCTTTAGTATATATGCATGCATGTTGGTTCTATCATTTTATAAAATTACAAGAAACTCGTTTCATATGACTTTAATCATCTACTGCCAACTTTTGGCATGTAATTTGCCCGTAATTTGAAAAAAAAAATAGCCACTAAAATTTAGATGGGCGCATTGAATCTACGGCAATTTTTACAAACTCCAATCTTTCATTTGCACCACAAGGTTATATTTCATTTGCGAAAAAAAAAACTACATTTGCGCATTTCTACAGCTAACATAACGGAAATATTGAACATACATTGCTTTATCGTGAAACAAAACTCAGAATTTAATCGGCAGTCGAAAAGCATCTGGTGACATTACTGAAAGACCATCAATTTGAAAGGTTATTCGCATAGAACTACAAGGTAAACTCTCTTTGCGTTGCCAAAATACGATACAATATTGCTTATACTATATGCAAGTCAAAATTTATTTTCCAAATCAAACATAGAATAATACTTACTAGTATATTATCTATCTGCAAATGTACAAATACTGTCTGCATTTTTACAAATTTAGAAGAAATATTTTGGGGCAAACACTTCAGTGTAAAGAACTGTGTGTTTAATATTATTATGAAAAGCCTCTTATCAGTGTATAGTCTGACTGCATAAATTTATTCTGTTAATGATTGATTGGTGCTAACGGCACTTTCATCACTAATGTGCTATTTCGTGGCGATCAGTTTTTGTTGTTGGACGAGTCGCAGTGTCCACAGAGATCCATCGACCTTCGGGGAGAAAGCTTACAACCCTAAGTCAATTAAGATTGGAGTCGAGCGCACCTGCCACGTGCGGGATTCGAACTCATGAGGCCGAATTATGCAAGTGAATAATACATCAGCGATGTTTTTTGAGCGTATTTTGACAAATTTGGGCCATGCTATAATTTCTTATAAAGAAATATTATTTATATTATTTCAAAATTCCGCTTTTATTGATACTTGAATCAAAGGATTCGTATTTTGATTTTCTTGTCTAAGTCGTAGCTAATGTCCCTTTAAACATAAAATTGAGAATGGAAATGGGGAATGTGTCAAAGAGACAAAAACCCGACCAAAGAGCAGAAAACAGCCCAAGGCCACCGATGGGTCTTCAACACAGCGAGAAAATTCAGCACCCGGAGGCGGGCTTCAGCTGGCCCCTAAACTGTTCGGGTCAAGCGCCATCCGTCATCAAGTACCCGACAAAAGACGTAACCTACAAAACCAGGGGACAAAAACAAGACAGGGTGTATCAGGGTAGCGCCTGACGTCTGACTTAATAGAAGAATGGGGCTGAATAGTGAAATATGAGTTTTAGATAAATATTCCTAAAGTAATTAACTTAGAGAAGTTCTCGCTCGGACACACACTCCATTATCTATACTATTAAATGAGAAGACCTCATTTTGTGTGTCGCTTCTTTCCCTTCCACAACACAATAAATTAATCATAATGCCCCTGTGTCCTATAGGTACCATGCATAGTCGCATTTGTCATCCTCGCTTTTAATTATTTGGTTTGGGTTATTTTGGGATGAAAACGAAAATAAGGGCGTCCGGATATTAATTTGACTAACTTTTAAGTCATAGACAAGACTTCCGATTAGGACTGTTAAAATTACACATAATTTTCCTATGTACTTGGGGAGAGGACAATTGTTTTCACGTTTTTCTGTATACTATGATCATACATATACTATAAATAAATTGTATTTGCTATTTACTATCCACGGCGGTCACTGATATATTATATTGAGAGCCGTAGATAGTAAAATAGCAAATACACTTTATTTATAGTATATATAAAATTATGAAATTGAGAATGGAAATGGGGAATGTGTCAAAGAGACAACAACCCGACCATAGAGCAGACAACAGCCGAAGGCCACCAATGGGTCTTCAATGCAGCTAGAAACTCCCGCACCCGGAGGCGTCCTTCAGCTGACCCCTAAACAAATATGCATACTAGTTCAGTGATAATGGACGTCATACTAAACTCCAAATTATACACAGGAAACTAAAATTAAAAATGATACAAGACTAACAAAGGCCAGAGGCTCCTGACTTGGGACAGGCGCAAAAATGTGGCGGGGTTAAACATGTTTTTTGAGATCTCAACCCTCCCCCTATACCTCTAGCCAATGTAGAAAAACAAACGCATATATGTATGTTCATAGTATACAGAAAAGCGTGAAAAAAGTTGAAATTAACAGAAAACAAAAAATAATGGACTTTGGAAAAAAGGGGGAGGGCTAAAAAAAATTGTCCTGTCCCCAAGTACCTATGACTTTTGATACCTTTCCTGAAATTTTCCGGTCATAAAATCTTTTACAAAAATTCATCCTACAACAGTTTACATACTTTCAACCACGCTCTAAATGCCCGCGATTTCGCGGGTGTGTTCTAGTCTAGTATATCAAGTTATAAGAGCATAATGTATAAGAAAATGCAAGTAGGGTCTCTTTTATTGGTAAAATCAGTGTCATAATCATCCGATATTAGTCAACAATTCAAGTTAAAAGTATTTGTAAGAAAGCAATATGTTGAGTCGAAATATTTGTCTACACAGTTTTACTAGTACATCTTGTTCGTATATACTGGGACACTATAGTAATATATCAGTATCTATATTGAAAAGTCCTAGGTATATATCTATCTTGATCAGTTCAGTTTCTTGTATATTCCTCCAATAATTGTGGAGCACTACCCATAGGGTATAATTGTAGCAACTATATACACCTTAGAACATAAGGAAACATTTAATTATGTACAGATGACTGAATTTAGGCAATAATAATTACTAAATAATTAATATTATAACTAATTCATAGGATTGTCATCATAAAATTTTAAAAATAATATTCATAATGTGCTGAAGTGTAAGAATAAGTTGAGTAAGAACTGGATATATTTACAAATAAGAATTTAGAATTTAAGTGGTCTTAAATTAAACTTTCTTATAATTGTTACTAAGAGTAGTTAAAGGTGCTATACGTACATCAGAATTTATAATGAGAAGGTTATTTTATAAGACTTATGTAAAAGGGTTGGGGTTTAGAACAATTCATCATATATACATAAGTTTTCTTTCACAGTTTAAAGTTACCTTATTTTGGATCTTATCATTATTCTTTAAAGGTAACTGGATATCTTAAAACTTTGTAAATTTTTTTATTTAATTTAGGTCCTAATACGTCATAAAATAGTAAGATGGTAAAGTAGGGAACTATTTTATTTTAAAAAAAGTTTACTTATACTGTACTTGTGTTCAAGTTTTTTATCCTTTTTGTGCGCAGCATGTGCATCTCGTAGCACATATTTCTAGCCAGAGTTTCAATGTTTTCATACACAGTTGAGTAACAGTTTATGTCCTTGCTAGTACAGTCCATTATGAGCTGCAGTAAATTCTCTTCTTGTATGATCTTCTTGTATGTTGAGGTATCAATTTCATCCATTGTCTGTTCTATTTTTGAGCAATATTTAGATCTTATTTGCTCCAATTCTTTGCAGCGTAGAATAAAATGTTCTAGATCTTCATTTTCCTGTTCACAGATTGTACATATCGGGTTAACTTTCGGATCGAACTTAGCTCTTTTGGCTTGTAATATGTACGTTTGAGTACTTATTTTTGCTTTTATTTCTCCTGCCTTTACATCTTTACTATTGTTTTTTACGCTTTTCCATATATTGTGTGCTTCATTTAATGGATTGTTCTGTATCTCTATGTATTTAAGTGATGTTTTTTCCATTTTTTCATAATGACATTCATTTTTCCAGTATTCCTTGATCTTTATTCCTACTAGTCTTTTCCATTCGATTTTCTTAAGTGGTTTTTCTATGTAGTAACTACTAGATTTCAAATTGTATTTTGATCGAGTTTTTTCCACTCTGTTGATAAAGTCGTTTCCTCTTTGGTCTGAGAATGCTATTTGTCGACGCAGAATTTCACATTCTATGGTTCCTGAATTTCGAAGAATATTCATGAAGAAGGTAAGTAGATTTTTGTCTAATGTGATGGCAATAGGTTCTGCTCCTACCAGGGTATAGACAGCCATATTTGCTGTATTATTTGGAAGCCCTTGAATTTGTCGGAGGATTTTTCTCTCTGCCAGTTCTAGCATATCCTTTTCTTTTGCAAGTAAAGTTCATCACCTCAAGTCCGTAGATGCTTGTTGGTATTGCATATGTTCTCCATAGCTTGTATGCGACCATGGGTGAGAATCCCCTTCTGACGTGTAAACCGGCTCCGAGAAGGCTGTATATTGTTGCCCTGCCGGTTCTTATTCTTTCAGAGATATTTGCCCGGTTTTGCACGTTTCTTTTGATACCTAGATGTTTGGTTTCATTGGTTATATTGATGTCATCGTCTTCGAATTGCAGTGTTGTTATGTTTGAGCCTTTTGCATTATATAAAACAGCTTCAGATTTAGTTGGATTGATTTTAACTAGATCTCTGCTTGTATGGTGCTGTACTATGTCTAATATTCCTTGTGCGTCTGCAGTACTATTTGCCAGGACAGCAATGTCATCGGCACATGTGGGTGCAGGGACTTGTATATTACCAATACATGCTCCAAGTCCACTTTTTAAAATGCTATCCAGTATGACGTTGTTGTAGCATTTATATAGCGTTGTAGATAGTTTTGCACCTTGTTGAATTCCTTGTAACGCCATTACATCTTCTGTACATTGACCTTCCCATTTAACCTTAATGCTCATGCCTTTATACAAGTTTCTCAGTAGTATCCAGAGTTTTCCTTTTATTCCATAATGGTACAACTTGTTGAATAGTATTTCATGGTTTAGTTTGTCAAATGCTTTTTCTGTCTTTAATTTCGATATTAAAATTACATAGATAAATTTATAAAAGTCTATTTTTAAAAAACATTGATTATTAGATGGATCCAAAAATATCAATTTCAGATTTTGCTGTATCTGTCTGTCTATCCGTCCGTCCATCCATTCGTCTTTCTTTCTCGTTTTTTTTTTCTTTCTTTCTTATTTTGAAATTAGATCAGTAATATCTGCATGTTAATTTATATACTGTATATCTTTAGATCATTATCAAAAATGTCACAATCGGGAAAATAAATAGCCTTAGGTCTTGGGAGTATTAGATTGGGCCAGGATGCCAGGTCAGAGAATTAAGTGAACGACAACGGAAATAAAACCCGAACTTGTATCACTAAGTTAGAATTTAACGAAAGGGAAATAACTCCACTTCGGGCGGGGAATCGTGGATAAATTCGTTTTGCATCGATGAAATAAAGAGTCTGTGAATCATTTGAGGTTGTCACAGTACAAGGGAAAGGTATTTATACAGTCTATGAAAGATAGTTCCGTTTTTTTTCATGCTGAATGTACATTTGTATATAAAATGCATAGCAATATTAGATCCAAAAGTCAGGTAAAAAGTAAAAATGTGAAACACTTCCGTGTGGACTGTCATGCATTTATTTACTGGTCCTTTAGTACACGATTTAATTATTTAGTGTTCTATTGCTGCTCTTGAAGTGTACAATCTTTTCAAAAACTTGTTTGATTCATAAAGACATTTTAATAACAAATAAAATATTTTGAAAAAATTTGCAAATTTATGTATAATCAAGGATTTGTATTATACAGGAACATATTTATTGACGGGACTTGAAACTACCTAATTGTAGCCGATTTTATCGTCGGGTCATAGGTAACAACGATACGATACGGAAAGTGTTAAAAACGTACTCGCTATTATCCTAATAATTTCTGATAATATCAATAAAATGTCATTCAAACTAGTTTTACAGTGATGCCAGTGTATCAAACTTGTATTCTGTCACTTCAAATTTGTTATAATCGCATTCATTTTATCACAGAATGGTACAGAATGCAAACAGGGTAATAAAAAATGGCGCCGATCATGCCGATTGCCTTCCCAAATTCAAAAACATTATAAAACAATTAACATCAAATAAATCACACTTATTTTGGTAATTTTATATGACAAAATGTATTTACTTTATGATAAAACTTGTATTTATTTACGATTAGAATTATGTGGTTAATTTATTGAGCAGTTCCGATACTGTTTTTCAGTCAGACGCCACAAAAATCCATAAATCTCGCGAAGTCTTGTGGAGTCCGAGATTTTATCAATTTTATACTGAAAAGCCTATCAGATTCATTTCCCGTTAGATATACTGATCCCAGTATTATACTAGTATACAAATCCTTGGTATAATAAAGTGTAAAAGGGGAAAATCGTGGCCAGAATTTTTTATATCTAATTTTTACTTCATACGGTTCCAAGGCATTGCGATATGCAATTGTTTACATGAATTTCATACCTGACATGCATGCATTCTTATACAAGAAGAAAGGAAAATAGCTCAAAAACACTCATTTTGTGAAAAGCTACAAAAAATTGTTGGACTTGTATTACACTTTACAGGTAAGTAAATGGATGATTTCACAGAATTTTCCGAAATGTTGAATACAACTAGAGCATGAGAAACTGCACATTAACATCAAACATTTATATATTTAACATTTATTTTTTCTGAGATAAAGCAAATTACCTATCTGGAAAATACTAGTCTACATGTACATGTATAGAATGTAAAAAAAAGTACAGCAATTTTTACTAGAAATCCTGTCCTACCAATTTTCTTTAAATATGATTGTTATTGTCACTGAAATTTCTGTTTTATTGGTATGATTTTAATAGGGTCACCAAATTTGTTTTTTTTTAGTATAACTAGTTTGAATATTCTGTACATTGTACAACATGGAAAAAGCGCAGAAAAGGTGAAAATAATCGTGACGTTATGGTAGGAAATCTTATTTTGGGACCTTTCTATACGACCACGGTCGTATATTGGTATCACATCGTCGTCGTCCGAAGACATTTGGTATTCGGACAATAACTTTAGTGTAGTAAATAGAAATCTATGAAATCTAAACGTAAGGTTTATAACCACAAAAGGAAGGTTGGGATTGATTTTGGGGGTTATGGTCCCAACAGTTAAGGAATTAGGGGCCAAAAAGGGGCCCAAATAAGCATTTTTCTAGTTTCGTGACAATAACTTGTGGAACAGTGTATGGATCTCTCTGAAATTAAACAAGAAGTTTCCATACCACAAAGGGATGGTTAGGATTGGCTTTGGGGGATTATGGATCAAACCGTTTAGAAATGAGGGGCAAAAAAAAGAGGAAAAACAAGGGTGTCCTGGTTAATGAACAATTACTTAAGTACAAATTACAGTGTAAGGGAGGTAATTCAAACACAACTTTGAATGACCTGCCTTACACTGCTTTTAAATTATGTATAAAGAATTTTTGTATTGTCTTGATGTGATTAGCTGTCAATTCATTTTTAGAAGTTACTATTTTAATAATTTTATTAAAATGCTGATTAAGGGAAATTAATTTTAGCTATGATATGTATGTCATTTTCTATTTTAAGACTTTTATGATATATTTAAATGGGTAATTATGGTTGCAAACTCCATTGGAAATTTGAATTGAAATTATGACCATGACTGAGTTAAATAACTTTTTTTTGGAAAAAGGGGGGGGGGGGGGGGCTGGGTAAAAAAAAATTGGTGGTGGTGGTGGAGGGGTGACAATTTTTTCTCCTCAAGATATCAGAAATCAAAAAGAAAATCCTTCAAATTTTTTTGTTGTTGTTTTTTTTGTTTTTTTGGAAAAAAAGGGGGAGGGGGGGGGGGGCAATTGCAACAGCATAGTGTATTGCACAAAAGCAAAAAATTGAATATAAATTAAAATCATATAACCAATTCTAAGTTCTTTGACTACAGTTATTCTGTGTCAGAAACCTATTTACATACAACATAATGAAAAAGAAAACATGACAAATATTTCAGTGCTTTGGCTGCCCTCTTTATCATTTAGTCAAGCCTGTTTACCTCTATTCAGGCAAATCTTAAACTAACCACAAATTCTATTTGTGAAGTGATGTCGTGTAGATGATTTATATTATTTTTTTGGCTGAAACCATATTTTTCTTCAAAAACAACAACATTCTAATGGAGTCATGGGATAAAAGGAATAATTGTGTTTGAAAATGATTAAGACCATTTTATATAATGTACATCATATTAAGGACACGAAGGAGATGTGGTATGATCATGATGATTGTAAATGAGTCAACTATTCACCAGAGAAAAATGACATAGATGTAGGCAACTAGACAGGTGCTGATCTAGGATTTTGAAAAAAAAGGGGAGGGCTGGTCTGGTAAGCCAAAGTTTGGAGTGTATTCTTGTAAGAAGTCTATGCATTTATCTTATATGAAGTTTCATGTTGTCATGCTTTTATCTCCTAATTAATTGTGTTAATGGCAACCTTTTAAAAAACAAAATTTGAAGTAAGTTTGGTATTTTCAGTTGTTTTCCTAAATGGCTCGTGTGTAAGAATTATGAAAATCATGTACAGAAGAAAATGTGTATTGCCTCATCATTCATAGTACCAACCAATGATAAAAAAAATCTACAACAGAGTGATCATAACCTTCTGCAAATATAAAAATAAGAAGATATGGTACCGTATGATTGCCAATGAGACAACTCTCCACCGGCAACCAAATGACATAGAAATGAACAGCTATAGTATAGGTCACCGTATGGCCTTCAACAGTGAACAAAACCTGTACCGAATAGTTCATATAAAAGGCCTAAATGAAAAACTATTCATATGAGATACTAACGACCTGATTTATGTACAAAATAATGAACAAAAAACAAATATGATCAGTGGCGGATCCAGAATTTTTCATAAGAGGGGGCCCACTGACTGCCTAAGAGGGGGCCCGCTCCAGTCATGCTTCAGTGATTCCCTATATAATCAACCAAATTTTTCCCACAAAAAAGGGGGGGGCCCGGGCCCCCTGGAAAACCCTCTAAATCCGCCCCTGATGATGTACAGCAACAAATGACAACCACTGAATTACAGGCTCCTGACTGTGGGACAGACACATACAAGTTTTCTTAAAATGGTTGAACTAAGTGCTTTCCTCTCCTTGGAAATCTACAACACCACTAATTGTTACAATTTTACATGTCTAAAGGAGCGACTCAAGCCAATCCAGAAAGCTTGTTACAGTAACAAAAAGGACTGATCACAAGTTTGAAGACATTTCAGCGTAACTGATCCTTTATCTTCTTACATGTACATTCATTGTCATTCAGTGTTGTCAATTTTGTTATAAAGTAATTCAGTAGTTAAATTCATTGTCTAAATTTCTTCATCACAAGGTATCAATAATTGTGTGTATGTGTCAACATTTATCTGGAATTAAATAAAGATCAAGGGTCAGTTATTCTTGCACATGAAAAGATCTTGCTGATGTTTTACAAATTTTCTATACATTATAAAACATGATAAAATATTAAAGTACTAGAATCATACAGTTAAAGAAAGTAAAAGAATCATTAATTTAAAAAAAAAGGGAAGGTTCATTAGTAAGCTATTAGAACAACATAATGGAAATGAAAATATGACAATTATTTCGGGGCTTTGATTCTGATTTGGCTGCCCACTTAATCAATTAGACAACCCTGTTTAACTCTATTCACCAACCACCGATTGTACATGTACTTGTGAAGTGATGTCGTGTATATGATTTATATTGATTTTTTTGCTGAAATCCCTTTTTCTCTTTTTTCTTCAAAAACAACAACATTCTAATGGAGAAGGAGTAATTGTGTTTGAAAATTATTAAGGTGTACATGCTATGAGGAGATGTGGTATGATCACGATGATTGACAAAGTTGTCAAATATCCACCAAAGTTTGGAGTGATACTTGTAAAAAGTCTTATGCATTATCATATATGAAGCTGCACATTCCCTTGTTCTTTTAAACTTGACCTAATATTCATGGTTCATTGATAAATTTTCAGTTTTCACAAAGCGGTCAGTTTCTGAGATGCTATAAACAATAGGTTAACTATATTTTTTGTATGGTAAGATCGTAAGGAGTACTTGTCTGTCTGGTATGGTATGATCATTTGTGTTAAATGCAAATATAAAATTAAATTTCGTTTAAGAGTTGTTTTCTATGTTTTTTCTAAAATCTTATAATTTTATTGCAAAATGAAATTAATCTTTAATCTGACCGGAACATATTCATAAAGATGAAATATAAAATGAAAATACTAGCCAAAGTATATTATGAATAAAATTTTGAATAATCAACATAAAGTTAGATTTTGGTTATTTAAGAATGGCGGAGATAGTTTCTGCATGCTCCTTTAGCTGACTGTAATTATGGACAGTATGCTAGCTACATGTATGTCAGTCATTACCATTTAGATATAGATATGTGGAAAATACTGATTGATACCTGCTCAGTGCCTCTTATTTCCACATGAATCAAAAGAGGACTTTAAATTTCACTTTGAATTAATGCCAAATAAAAAATGATTTTACCCCATCTTCATCTTACAAAAACCTTTCATCTCAAAAATTAAAACAAACTTTTCTCATCCTACTTTAAGATATCCAGATATCAGGATCATGATCTGGAGGATTGAACATATACATGTTCATGTATATAGTGATTACTGTATATAGACTAGTATTTGTTAAACTGCTGTTAAGATAGTTATAATGCCTACTAACATGACTAAGCCATGCTTATTTGTTTATTTATATATTTTACAAAATGTTGAGTTTATCATGTTTACATCTCCAAACTAAGAATTACCCTAGGGATGTTAAATCTGTTTTGAAGTAAAATTATCAGGACATCTAAAGTACTAAACATAATAATAAATACATGCATTAAATGTACTTGAAGGAAGTCTTCCTAATAAAGGGATAATATATTATTGACATTGTTAGATAAATAACAGAGAACTTAGGTAAATAGTTTCCTGTAGATCACTTCCTGTACAAGTGTTGGGATTGGAGTACAGACTTTGTACATGTAATATAAGGTGTAAGTTTTATTTTCTACTTACAGATAGATATACATATATATATATATATATATTAATTTTTGATTTGTTTTGTATATTGAATCTTTGGGGCATGTCTTTAAATTGAACTAAAGTGATACATTGTATCCATTCTATACTTTTTTTTTTCTTGGAAAATTTGTAAAGTTAAGAGCAAGCTCTTAAGAGAGAAGGGCTTTTTATGCCTCGCCTAGAATATTATTGGACATTAACTAAATTTTCCAGTCTGTGTATACATCTGTCTTTACTTAGTTTGTGTGTCTGTCCCCAATGTCATGTATTTGGTTAAAGTTTTTGTTTTAAAGTACATGTAGTTAAATTACTACGAAGTTGCGGTTACAGAGTTTACATGTTCATGTTGTGAACTTTTAAAAATTTATGCAAAGTCAGAGTTTTGACCAAGATTTTGCAGTTAACTAAACATGACAGGGGTTAACATGACATGGGTTGATACTGATTGCTGGTGCATGCCCCCTAAAATAATTTTTTGGTGTAAAACAAATTTTTTTTAGCCTCGGTCTACTTGACTTTATTGTTAGGATCTTCCCCCTACTTATATAACCTTAAATTCTGGATCTGCACCTTCATGGAAATGTAACAGTTTGAGTGACTCATGGTGTTCTATGAACACATATTTTTTTTCTCCAAATCTATATTTTGTTCAGTCTTGAAATAATGAGGTTTGATACAATTTCATCTGCATAATATTTTTAAGTGCCTACAAGTGTTTTTGAATTCTCTTGTGGTTTTTCCAAAATAGGACTCTATATACACTTATAAATGTAAAACACTGTATACATCATTTTAACTTTGTAATTTTATTTTCAAGTAATTATTTAATGGTCGAGGAAAACAAATCATTAAAGTGTTCCCACAAAAATAATTAGTGATGCACTTAGAATTAAAAGGATTTAAACAAATATAATTGCTGTTCCAGTTAAATACATGCATTGTTAAGTAGACTTAATAGGGAGGTCAGGAATATAACCAATTACAAGTGCATAATGCATTTATAGATCACATTTCAGGAAATACTATCTTGTTTAAAACAGTACATTCTACATAACCAGGGTAGGTATATATTTGTAAAGAAATGTTTGCTTCTTTTAATTTCTAGCTGCTTAATTTGAGAAAAGAACAAAGATTGGAACGATGACACAGTTTTTTATGTTTAGTGTCAAAATTAGCAATTTTTTTTTTTTATGGCAAAAAAAAGGAAAGAAAGCCTGGTTTTGTCTTGCCTGTAGCAAAAGTAATTGAAGTGAAAGACATGTGATCCTACACTCCATGTGGTGTCAAAGAAACAACAGGCTTCTGCATGGTCTCAAGATAGTATCTGGCAAAATTTTTAAAATATTTTTTTTCATCTAATAGTGTCTATTTTACTAATAATTGGACTTGATTTTTTTCTTCTGTTAAAATTAAGGTACATTCCAATATTAAAGTTAATAAGACATCATAATTGTTGTTAATCTTCATGGAATTTAATGAAAACTGGAGCATACATGTTAAAGTTTATTAAGACATCAATTTCGTGGTTAACCTTCATGGAATTTTATGAAAACTGGAGCAGAAGATTCTTCATGATTTTGTTTATTTTATGCGTATTTTGACTGATAAATGGACTTCGCTATTTTTTGGCGTTACAACTTAAGATATAGTATTGGCTTTAAAGTTTTTAGACATCAATACCTTTATCAAACCGGCTTGCAATACTATGAAACTTGGACAGAAACTTTTTTATGATTAAGAGAAAACATCTGAGGCAAATTATTTTTGAAATGTTTTTTATTTCTTGTTTCATCTTTGTATACAAGTATAGAAGTTCTTAGATTTTTGCAGTTAACATTTTAAAAACATTATAACTTTGTTAAACTTGGACAGAAGCTTCTTGATGATCAAGAGCGAAGTATCAGTTTTTACTGATAAATGTTTTTTTGTAAATGAACTTTAGTTTTTTGGCAGTCAAGATGAGTCAAAATAACATTTTTACACGGACAGCAGCAATCACAGGCGAGACACATTATACTACAGAACTCCTACAAATTTTGCATTTTTATTGAATAACTATGAAATAAAACAAATCCCTAAATTATGATATAGAAAAATATTTTAAGCGACCAAATGACGCATTAATTCATGAATGGGATTAGCACATAAGTGAATTTTCTCTGTTGTTTATTCAAGAATTGAATATTTTTCTATATTTGAATTGATGGATTTGTTAGTCTTGTTATTACATTGACTTTTAATTTTATAATGTATACAATATAGAAAGTGCATAGAACAGCATTTTTGTCTAAATGTTCTCATTTTATGATGGAATGTCATTGACAGCACCTTTTGTTGTATGATGTAAAAAGAGTAAAATTACAGAATCTTATATATATATATATATACATGCGAATATAAAGATTTTTTATTCAAAAGTAAAATAACAAAAATACCAAACTCCAAGGAAAATTAAGAATGGAAAGTCCCTTATCAAATGGCAAAATCAAAAGTTCAAACACATCAAACCAATGGAAAACAACTGTCATATTCCTGACTTGGTACAGACATTTCCTTATGTAGAAAATGGTGGAGTAAACCTGGTTTTATAGCTCTCACTTATATGACAGTCGCATAAAATTCTACTGTCAGTAATTACGGTATTTTATTGCAACCAATGTTATAATAAAATATACCAAACTCAACAGGAAATTTTAGTTTGTCAGTTGTTAAAATATGTTTTTGAAAGAAATTTTATAGCGATGAATTATGTATTGAAGATTTTTGGTTAGTTATACATCTTTGGGTTATCCATCTTTCGGCTCTTAGTGTATTTGATCATGTTAAAACCAGATACACAGATGAATTCATCAAACAATTGATCCCTTTCATTTGTAGGGATTCCATAGCTTTTTTCAGGAGGCCTTATAGTCTTTTAAATTGTTGATGTTGTTTGAATATTATTGAACTAAACATTATTCAGTTACACACTGAAATTGTGACAAGTGTACATAATTGATGCTCTTATAAAAACAGATAGAAATAAATATTGATTTGTTTAAACAAGTACAGAGCTAGATTACTGACATTATAGTACATAAGCCTACATTTATAGAAACCTTTTAATCCTTACTTATTAATAACAATATAATATGATATACAATGGACACTGGACATCAACATGAGCCGTTGATATGTAATATAACCTTGTCAGAAACAGATGTTGCCATCATAAAGGCATATTATTTTATTTTACAGGATAAATCAAGCAGTGAATTGAACTCAAAGATTAGAAAGGAATTGTATTTTGTCCTTGCATAGAAGGTTTGTACATGTGAAGATCTTAATTTTTAATTTATTAAAATTAAACATGATTGTGACAGGATACAACCGCATTATATTTTGTAATTGATTAAATTCCAATGCATATTTGACAAAGGTCACCATGCACTTGTTTTTTTTTTTAAACATTGATCATTTTAAAAAGTTGTTTATATGTTTTGTTTTTGGTGACTAATTAGGCAAAAAAAATAATACCTATGTTTCCACTACATGCTGAAAAAGTATATGGTTTAAAAGATAGTTTATTTTTGAATCAGTCTGATAAAAGAAAAGCTTGTTAAAAAAAAGACCAAACAATCTTTAGCAAGTCACTAAATATTACACATGAATTTTTTTTTATAGTAAAAAATATCATGGATCTACAAAAAATGCAATAACTTAAATTTAATTATAAATATATATATCTTCAATAATTTTGCAAAGGGAGAAGATGGGGTATACATTATTTAGACAGCAACCTTTATGTTTTAAGTGATTGTGAAATAAACAAAAATCACCCAGGACAAAAAAATTTCATATTTTCAGTATTTTATTTTTTACCTTTTTTAATTACTTTTTTTATTTCCATAAACCACTAACACTAGCATTAAAGAAATAAGGATAAAAAATTGTGCTTTTATTGTATATTTACAGGGAAAGAATAACAACTTCTTTAACACAGAAAACACTTCTCTAAGAGTAGGGGTTATATTGTGATCTCACCTTTTCCATTTGTCCATCTGTCAATCTGTTTGTCCAACAGATATTTTTGTCACACATTCTCAGAAACCACTAAAAAGGACTTCATAGGCATTATTTTATTATTATTTGATTACAAAAGTATATTGGGTCAAGGAATTGTATAATTAAAAGGAATGGAAATGCGTCTCGAGATCAATCAGGACTGCCGCAGAGCAATAAGTCATGTCTGTTTCGTTCGGAAGTATGATAAATATTACAAAGAATCATAACAGAGGTCCATTTCCTGTTATATTTATCGGCCATCTAAATTCACAGAGTCATCTTCCTTGAGAAGATATAAAAGAGGATAAAAACCAAGACATGTAGAAACAACTCTTCCGTGTAAAAGGGAACCCCTTAGGTGTTATTTTAATGCCTTTTTGACCTATGTTTGCAATAAACTTTTAATAAAAAGTCATATTAAAATAGACCTCTTTCGTCAAATTTGCAAGAGTTTCATCTGGACTACTAAATAAAGAATAGTGTTTTAAATTTTTTATGACCCCCCCTTAGTGGAGGGGGCATTAAGTTTTACCCTTGTCCAGCCGTACATCCGTCTGTACGTACGTCCTAAAGTTGGTTTCCATTCTCTAACTTTAGTTTGCTTCAACCAAATGTTATGAAACTTATAAACAATGCTTATTACCACAAAACACAGATTAAATTTGAATTTTGGTGGCGTCACTTTAACCGTTCTAGAGATATGCCCCTTTACAAATGGAATAAACTGCTTCGCCGAGCGCAGCTGGATACGACTGCAGAGGTCCAACCCTGAACAGTTTGGGCAAAAATGGACACAATATTCAAGCTTGATACAGGTCTGAATTTGGATTGTAATTAAATATTTGACACATTATAGGTTTCTGACACAGAATAAAAGTAGTCAAAGAACTTGATATTGGTTGTATGATTTGAATTTATATTCAATTGAAGATTTCTTGCTGTTGTGCAATACACTGTGCTGTTGGGCAATACTTAGTAAATCTGTTTTCAGACTATATACCAAGAATTAGCAAATTAAATTGTGACCTGCAATTTTTTTCTTTGGAAAATTGACAATTTCTTAAATCATGAGGGAAAAAAAAATTTGTTTCGTTTCTGTTCTCTTACTTAAGTTAGCCTCAACCAAATGTTATGAAACTTATACACAATGCTTATTACCACAAAACACAGATCAAGTTTGAATTTTGATGGTGTCACTTTTACTGTTCTAGAGTTATGCCCCTTTATAAATGGAAAAATTGCTGAATTTTTCATTTCCGTTCTCTGACTTAAATTTGCCTCAACTAACATTTGCCTAAATGTTATGAAACTTATACACAATACTTATTACCACAAAACTCAGATCAAGTACAAATTTGGGTAATGTTACTTTTACTGTTCTTCAGTTATGTCCCTTTATAACTTTATATGATATGCAAGCGGGGGCATCATCTGTGTCCCATGGACACATTCCCCATTTATTTCTAAAGGCTCGACAACCATAAAAGGCAAAAAAAATAGTTGATATCATTATGAAGCTGAAACCATATTCTAGAACTTGGACTCTTTTTTATGTTTCTGGTTTAATTTCTGTATTTTCTATGATTTCCAAAATTTCAGTTTTGCATTTCATTATTCTGTCAAAGCATGTCTTTCAATCTTGCAGTTTAGTATGAATTTTCAAAATGTTGAAAAGTAGAAAAGAACAAAGTGTCAAAATAAAAAATCATTTTAAAGAAGGAATATTTTGCAACAATTTGGTGTAAATTAGTTACAAATGTTAGATTTTATTAATTTATTGTAAATGATTTTCTTTCGAAACATGCTGAAATATTAAGGAGTGGGTAAAAAAATACACCCACACACTATATTCTGGCGGAGGTTAAATAACAACTTGAACTAGACATGTAAATGAAATAACAATTCAAAAGCTTAACCTGTGTTCTATAACATCGTGTTGGTTTTATGAAATTGGTAATAACAATGAATTTTCTATGATTTTTCAAAAAACATTTGACTCCTTATTATATTATTATTATTATTATTGCCCTTTGATGGTGATTTTTACCAATTTTTTGTGTTTTTGCTTTATATCTTAAAAATTACGATAGATAGATAGAAACTTAAATAAGCAAAAATGATCAGCTAGACAACATCTACAATTAATTAAATGGAGGAAATCATCTGACGACTCCTCATTGGAGTTATTGCCCTATTAATACGGTTTTTACCATTTTTTGCGTTTTGCCTTAAAAGATAAAAATTATGATTGATAAATAGACACGAATAATTTACAACATAGTCCCACAACTGGTGTATATTGGTGATTTTGAATCTGTTCAAAGTTTTGATTTTTCTACCCTATATACCACTTTGCCTCATATTCTTATTAAGAAAAAATTCACACACCTAATTAAATGGGCATTTAAAAAGTCGGAATGCGAATACATATGTTCAAACTCTTTTAGGTCATTTTTTAGTAGCAACAAACAAAAGAGCTATGTCAATTGGACATGCTTTGATACTATATCTGCCCTTGAATTTTTACTTGATAACATTTTTGTTCGCTTTGGAGATTCCGTATATTGTCAAGTTATCGGAATTCCAATGGGGACTAACTGTGCACCACTTATTGCGGACCTGTTTTTGTATTGTTATGACTTACAATTTATGACTTAAATCAGCAAAGACCCATCGAAACAACATCTGATACAAAAATTTAACAATACTTTTAGATATTTGGATGATATATTGGCTCTCAATAATGACAACTTCAGTATGTATACTAAAGAAATTTATCCTGTTGAACTTACTTTAAATAAAGCTAATACTAACAATGACCACTGTCCTTTCCTCGATCTTGATATCTATATCATTAACGGGAAGCTTAATACAAAGGTTATGATAAAAGAGATGATTTTTCATTTCCTATCGTTAATTATCCATTTTTAGATGGTGACGTTCCCTTGACACCATCTTATGGTGTTTATATATCTCAACTTGTACGATTCGCTCGTGTATGTAACAACGTATTAGATTTTAGCGAGCGAAATTTATATATTACTGAAAAATTATTACACCAGGGTTTTTCGATATCATAAACTAGTCAAAACATTTACTAAATTTTATCATCAGTATAAGGACATCATTCGTAAATATAACTCAACATGCAGACATCTTATATGTTCGGGTATTTCACATCCAATCTTTTATGGTAATATTCTTTACAAAGCACAAAAATGTCAGTATTCACCTCAAAAGCTAACAAAACCTTTAAACAGACTTATTAAGAAGGGATATAGTTACGTTACTGTTGTCAGGTCATTAAAGATTGCATATTTTGGCTTTAATATTGATTCACTTTTAGGGTCTTTGCATCGGAATTAAACATATTTATTCTAAAACCAGTTGTTGGCATGACACGGGTTATGTTCTTCTCATATATTTTATGACGGTATAATACTAAACCCCTAACAGGAGGGATTGTGCCTGATATTCATATGATGAAGACATAATCTTTCAATCAGTTTAATTGAGGTCTGGAGCTGGCATGTCAGTAACTGCTAGTAGTCTGTTGTTATTTATGTATTATTGTCACTTTGTTTATTTTCTTTTGTTTCCTATTCTGACATTGGACTCGGACTTCTCTTAAACTGAGTTTTACTGTGCGTACTGTTGTACATTTGTTTTTCTCTACATTGGCTAGAGGTATAGGGGGAGGGTTGAGATCTCAAAAAACATGTTTAACCCCGCCGCATTTTTGCGCCTGTCCCAAGTCAGGAGCCTCTGGCCTTTGTTAGTCTTGTATCATTTTTAATTTTAGTTTCTTGTGTATAATTTGGAGTTTAGTATGACGTCCATTATCATTGAACTAGTATACATATTTGTTTAGGGGCCAGCTGAAGGACGCCTCCGGGTGCGGGAGTTTCTCGCTGCATTGAAGACCCATTGGTGGCCTTCGGCTGTTGTCTGCTCTATGGTCGGGTTGTTGTCTCTTTGACACATTCCACATTTCCATTCTCAATTTTAAGATTAAATGACCAGAGTCCCACAACTGGTGTAAGATTAAATGACCAAGTTTGATAACTGATGCAAGACAAGTAATTAGCCAGTTAGAGCTATGGGGTGTAATTAACGCATCGCCCGAATGCATAATATAATTTTCTTTGAAGTTGACCGCGTTTCCATTCCTTTTAGATATACAATTCCTTGATTGGGTTAACTAAAAATGTGCAGAAGAATGCTTTTTTTTAAGGCAATATTAATAGAGATAAAAAAAAAATTCTGGTACAAGTTGTAGCAAGGATCACAAGTCCATATACATTTGTAAATTGTAAAAAGTAGATAGTTTATGAATATTTTTGTAAAAAATTCAATAGATCCTTAAGTGCCAGTCTTTATAAGAATCAGGCAATTTAGAAAAAATTCAAAACATGGCGAAAAAAACCCACCGACCTAACCACCCAATATTGAAGGTACCCTCATCCTGAGTTAGAAATGGGAGGTCTTTCATTTCTGCGTGTCTGGTAATTCGAGAAATTTTGGTAGCAATGATAGCAAATTACAGAGTTATCTCCCCTTAATTGTTATTTTCTAGTGCATTTCAACCAAATTATATCTTGAATTACCAGAACAGGGAAAGCTGATTTAAAGTCTGCACATACATTAGCACTTGGTCTTGAATTTAAAAGCTCTTTTTACCCATGAATATTAGATTTTCTCTCTCTTGTGTCATACAAAATGTACATGTATTTGTGTCACATCTTATAATTTGTTATATATATATCTAACATATCCTATACTAATATTTTGTATTTGTATCTAATAGAAATAAACACAATGAATGTCTATCGCCAACCAGCGCAGTGGGAAGACAAACGCACAAAAGATTTACGGAATCAAGTTACACTACTGAATACACATCTTGGTGTACAAAGGTCAAAGTTGTCATCAACAATACCAGAACTCGTCCAATACTGTGAGAAGCATGCTGTACAAGATCCTTTCCTATTTCCAATTAGAGACAATCCTTTTAAACCAATTAGACGACCGTGTTGCATTATATAGAAGATAATGGGATCAAAACATGAATGAATGTGATAAATATGTGGTAATTATATAATATTTAATACAGTCGCAGAAGGTAGTGCATGGAGTAAGAATCTATCTGTTCTTTTTACAGTTTTATGGACAAAGAGAAATAACTCCATTCACAAAGTTACCAATGAATATTTCTTTGCTTTATTCAATGCAATGTTAAGTTCACAATGCAGAGTGATAGCTACCTAAATCCCTTCAGTGCTCTCAACCACTTAGATAAATTATATGAAAAGATATATCATGGGTTAGACATGTAAGATGTGCCTTAATAGCTCAGTTAGTTTCCAATAAGATGCTCAGATAAGCAGTTTTGTTAGTTTTGACATTTACTGTTCTGAAGCTTAGCCTTTTACAAGACATGAACATTCGTATTTCTTTGGATTCTGAACAATCATTAAAGTACCAATTGACCAAATCTTTGAAATTTGAACACAATGTCATGGATCATATAACACATGTCATGTTAAATATTGATAGTTTTGACATTTACCGTTCTGGAGTAATCCCCTAGGTTTAATTTTAGACGTGTTGACGTTTAATGTTCGATTTAGTCCCTTAGTTGCCTTGAAAGTTTGATTTTTTTTCAAGGTGATACTGAAAAAGCTGACAAATTCTTAATAGATTTGAACACGATGCTTTGAAACATAAAATACAGGTTACTATCAATTTGAGTTTTGCTTTTGGCATATACGGATAAAAGAGTTGTTTTTCTGCGGGCAAGGGTATCTGTGATCACTTGATCGCCTATTTTCAGTTTATATTGGGTAATTCCAATAAGGCCTTTTACTTAATGAAATACAGTATTCTTATTATTGATAATGAAGTAAATATTAAACATTATTTTACAATTTTTTTTTCATGGATGACATGTTTACATGAAATAAAAGTTGAAAAACTTTTTTTTATTTTTTCAGATTCAACAAATGATAGAAGTAATATATATATTTTCCACAAAGAAGAAATTCTGTTGTTGTAGCTGTTAAAATAGTAAATCGTCAGTGGCATAGCTGTTAAAGTTGTATATTGTCAGTGGCTTCGACGTGCTATTCATTGCCTTCAAAACTTTTTAAACATTATTATAGTGCCATTGCAAAATAGAAAACCAAGAAAATATTTTAATTTTTTTTCTTCTAAAAAATGATTAAAATTAATTATATACATGTTTATTGCTTAAGAAAAATCATGCCAAAGTAGATATTTGCTTCTGTGCCTTTAAGTGTGGGTGCTAATATAGACATATTCAAGATCTTTATTGTATTCCTATAATATTTGTGATTCATGTGATGTTTATATTTTTTTATAATGTGATTACTTTATTTTTTATGATAAATCATCTTTTTGACTATTTACGCTAGTAAAATTGCTTGTAAGATATTAATATTTTTTTTAATTACTAATGCTAGTAATATTTGCCAGTAAAATATAAATATTTAAAAATAATGAAAAACTTAATTTCATATTAAATACAGGCAGTTTTATTGAAATGAAAATTATTATCAAAGCTATCCTTTGTTGAAGATAAACCATAAAATTTCAGTAAGTTTTTAAACTTTGATATGAAGAAACCTGATTTACCATTGCTGTAAATGATGCCATTTTGGAAGATATGATGTATTTGTGTACAAAGCACATGGTAACACCTAACAACAATTTGTGCTTGTTGTGGTTTATTTAGTATTTTTTCATTTCACTCTTTTTATGTCATTTAAAGAACACAATATTGAAATAATGATTAATTTTCTGCTCAGCTTTCCTCTAGCTTTCAATACGGTAAAATCATTTATCTAAGTGAGTTTTAAATTCACAATTTATTTGTAGGGATCAAAACTGTGTGCAAGATTTTTTTCATGCTTTTACCTGTCACTGATTCTTATTTTCCATAAAGATAAAATAAACACCAGTGGATATTTTCACAATATTGTCTTTATCACCGATTAGGGAAAATATTCTCTTCATAAAATCTACATTTTACAGTACATTGATATGTATTAGGAGTATTATTATGGTAACTATAATTATTTTACTTTTTAGATCAGCTTGAACAATTTTTACTTTAAATATATATATATATATATATATATATATAGCTTTTTATGAAAAAAATGAAATTTGTATTGTGTAAATTAATTATTCAAATCTTATGATATATTGTAATAAAATATAGTCATATTTTTTAAATAAAATAATTCCTTTCACATAGGATCAGATGGTTGTAATATGGCATTTTAAATCTATTTTTTATTTGGTTAGTAAAAACCACACATCAAATTTCTAATGCTTAGTTTAAAGATATTTCGGCTTAATTAATTTGTTTACTTTCTGTTAACTTTTTTAAGTCTTCATCAGACATTTTTGTAAGTTCCCTTTTTTCTTCTTTGGCATTGGAAAGTTTTGGGTTAAAGCTTAAATATTTGATTTTAAGAGAACAAAATTCTGTAAATTGTATATTTTTCTTTGTCAGTAAGAAGTATTATCATTTTACAGCCAATGAACAGCATTCATTATTATGTATGTATTAGTATGGATATATACATGTTTATTGCAAATGTCAGATGCATTAATAGGATCTTTATATGAATTGATACAGGCTTAAATCAGAATTGACACTTTCAAGTTTCTAGAATTTATTTTTCGGGAAAGAGTGTTTATGAACCAGCAGCTATGAATGTTTAAGTTAATTTCCTATGAATAAGAATAGATGATGATGTGTATAATGTTGCAGCATTTCCATACTGCTGGCCACATTGTTATATATTTATATCATATGTAAATTGAAATTAATATATGATTATATATAAATGTTATGTATTTAAAATGTTTTTTTTTGTCATTCACAATTTGGTAGGTTTAAAAGAAGGGGAAAAAAGGACTTTTTTATTGCAAATTGCTTTGAATTTGTTGTTTATTTCAACAAATTATTTTTCTTTAAAAATGTTTTTTATTTTTTATTATACCTTCTTATTTGAAAATCTTCCTTAGGCTACTTTTATTAGAAAATTATTTGTGTAAACATTAGCCTGGGATCTTGGCTCACTCCTTGACAGTAGATATTGTCAGTCCAGATCAGTGCTGACAGGAATTCAAATGATTTCTTCCATGCCTGGCTTTACTGATTCTATAAACACTACAGAGATTAGGCCATGATACCAGGCTATGTTAATGTTAGGTTAAATTTTCACAGTCAAAGTTATCTTTCTTGAAACAAATAAAAGCAGTTTCTTTTACAGTAGATGCATATTGAAAACTATCCCCAAGTTTGTTATTTTTTTTAATATCCCACAAATCACTAAGTTCTTCAAAATGATATATATGGAAGGTGAGGGGTGTTATATGTAATGTACAAGAAATAAATTGACAAAAATAAACCTCGTAAATTTCTGTAAATTTGCAACTAGATTAAATTCACTACAATTATAAAACAATGTATTTGTTTATTCACTTTATACCGTCATGTTTATGTAACATATTTTTGTCATTACATGTAAAGAACCTAATGATATGAAATCAAAATATACTTCAGCAAAGAGCTTACACATGTGCAATGTTGTAATTAATATTTGTAAAGGACTCCTGTGCAATGTATATTTATGTATAAACAGTTTTTCAGTTGCTTTCTTGTTCAAAAGTCAAATAATTAAGCAAAACATTGTTCTTGTATTGAGGCAAAATGTATATTACATGATAGTGCAGTTCAGGGCTATTCTTGAAGAAAGAAAGTCATAAGAGCATTTGAACTAAAAAACGTGGTGTACCGTTAACACGGTATTTTTTTGATAGATAAAATAGTACAATTGAAAGTTGTAAGGGATTCCATTAGCCTCTTAGATTAAAACCATTATCCAAGTCATGATCAAAAATGTTTTTTGTTTCTCCTTTTTTCTTGATCGGGTGTGAAATGAGATTGTAAAAGTAAAGAATTTCTCCAGTGAAAAGAATGGGTATGCAATAAGATTGTAAAGTAAAGAATTTCTCCAGTGAAAAGAATGGGTATGCAATAAGAATATGTCAAAGTAATGAATTTATGCATTTTATACAAGTGATCTATTATATTCTGATTTTTTAAAGTGTAAAATTAAAAATTTAACCTGTTCAAAAAATTTAAGATGAGGTAAAAAAAAAACAACAGGTCCAGTTGAATGGACCACATTGTATTATCTAATAGGTACTAAAACATGATGATATATGCACATATGACAATGTCACAATGTCATAGTGAACAAACCAGAATGTCATAATGAACAAACCACAATGTCATATTATATTTGTTGACAATAACAAGAGTATTAAAAGAACCAATGATTGCCTTGTTTGATTATAGTGATTAAAGTAATACTGTTTTATTTATTTGTTTGTATGTTTTTGTTTCTACTAATTATAACTGTTGTTTTGGAGTATTCCAGGAACATATGCATGATTGTGTTGGAGATAATCCGTTGAAATGGATGTGGGAGGGTAGAACAAAAGTTTTATTTTTGGAAATGGGTCGTGGGTCATTGATGGATGCATGTCCATTTGACGTATGCAAAACTACACACACAAAAAAATATTTTGGTAGGGGGAGGGAGATTTGGGAAGTTCCATCTCTCCCACATTCATTTTATTGAAATAGCCTTCTAAAGGATATGCAAACTTAAGTCCATAAATGATACAATTTACAATGGCAAATTTTTTGCTTAATTGAAAAGGTCCACCCAGTGAGCAGGTCATAGATTCCTGAAATAGTCCTTACACTGCCTTATTTCAAATAAAAAGTTTGAAAATCATGCAAGTTGTTCTTACAGTTGACTTTATTTCTGTAAACATTTCAGTCAAATAAAGGCTTCAAATTAAATTATATAAAATTGGATAAGTATAGCAAAAAGGCAAACACGTTTTCTCCATAGCTTTTAAATTTTATATATTTTTTATGTAACATTAATGGATTTTTCTGAATCTTCTAGAATAAAAGTCAGCTGTTATTAATAGTTTATTTGTTACAACCATACAGGTAAATGGTCATGGGCAATACATTTATTGTTTCATTATGTTAAGGTGTCTGGGAAATTTTATTGTTTTTACATAAAAGAGAAAATAGCATAATTGATGAATAAATTACTGTAAATTCAGAAATTATTGCAAGGCTTTGATTATTGAAAATAATCCTGATAATGCGACTGTTTGGGTATTGCAATAGTAAGAACTCGCATACTGAAATCTGGCGCATATATATTTGTATGCAGCTTACTTGTAATTGCATCAGTTATTCTCACATTTTGGTCTTGTCACGTCAAAATCGCAATAATAAATGCAAGCAATAATTTCTGAATTAACAGTATTCAAAGGAGATTATGGAGTATAAACCAATGAGACGGTAACCTAACAAAATGAAAAACAAAAACAATAACAATTTTAGAGGTCAAGTGTTTAGACAATAGGTCAAACACTTTAAATTGAATCTAGACAAGTTATGAGCCTATCAAAGACAAGTAATTACCTATTTGATAATAAAAAAAACACCAAACTTTAAAAGATGAACTTTAATACAAACACTGGTATTCAGGCATTTGACCTTGTGCTAGGTCACACATATATTGAGCATTCAATATTCCCTTTTTAATCTTGATTAAAGGGATACAAAAAATGCATTAAAGAAAGTAAAATAAAAATCAACTATGAAAAAGCACTTGAGACTCTATAAAATTGGAATTACAGATGATGAAAATGCATGTACAATGAAACTACATATTCATTATTACTAATGGGGGATATTGAAATGACTTTGTCCTTTTTTCATCTGTCTTTTGGTCTGTCCATCCTTTCTTTACCATGCAACTTTGTTATTCCATATTAAGGAATGATACAATATTTGGTCTGCCAAGTTGCCCTTTGTTAGTGGCTTCGATGTTCTGGGTATTCGCTAGCAGTTTAAAGACACTTATAAATTAATTTATACCCTGTGAGGATAGAATTTTTTAATCATTATCTGATTACATATAGGGGTATACTTTAAACAACATTGTGTGCAATGCAAATTCTTGTTTAAGATGTTTTTAGGTTATCACAAAAACAGTTTGCAGTATGGTATTAAAATATATATTTATGAAATATTGGAGATGTTAAACAAACAATAATATATCCTTTTTAGGGTTCACATTTGTTAAAATAGCAGCTAGCTCAAGCTTATACACTGAAATGATTCTAACACAATATTTATGTTATGATTTCATTAGGGAAAAAAATATTGAGTGAAGTACAAAACTCTTTCCTCTGCAAACTATTATTTGCTTGAAGGTTGTTGTAAAAATCTAACAAACTAAGCAGACATGTCATTCTGCATTATTTAAATTCGAACATAGTGATCAAGAACATATTGTTTTTATTCTGTAAATAGTAAATTTGAATTTTAGATTTATTAGAAAGCTAGATAATAAGCTTTTGGATTCTATATAACCTTCTGGGTACCCTCTACAGGTGAAGGTCAAATGATCAACCCAATATGTTAATTGATTACTGTATATATGGAATAAAGGTTTAGTTTAAACATCAGGGGTTTCTTGAACTTGTGCCAGATCACACATATATTTAGAATTCAATACATTCTTGTATGCCTCAGAATGTAATAAAAGTAGATAAAGAGAATACTTTAAGGTAGAAAATATGTTTTTAAATTTTATTATCGAATGTTATAATATTTTTCAAATTTATAAATGGTGGGTTAAAAGAGTATCGCTCGGGACAAAATAATCTAATATAAATGCCCAACCCATGGTTAAATGAAAACAAATCTACGACTGTCGTCAGTAATTCTTAATTAGATGGCAACTAGCCAACATGATACCTTAATAAACTCATAAAGGTTACTGCTTTCAAGCTATAAATGGTCCCAGATGAATTTGGAACCATATTTAATGGAAATGATATAGTTATCTCTATAGAATCAAATTCTATATTTGATCAAAGGTGCAGCAGACTCACTGCTTGGACCCCCTTTTTATATGTATAAACTACTGTTGTAAGATTATATGGGTAAGAGCTAGAACACATTAAATGAGTGAAAATAATTGAAATATAAAAGCAATTTATATTAACCTTTTTTTTTACTGTGAATTCATTTATTTTAGTGGATACTTGAATTCGAGGTTTTTGCCAAAACTTGCATACCAGCCAATGATAAATATATACTTTATTATACCCCACGCAACGAGTTGCGAAGGGTATAATGTTTTTGACCCATCCCTCTGTCCGTCCGTCCATCTGTCCGTCTTTCCGTCAGTCAGTCCGTCAGTCCTGTTTCTTGTCATCGCAACTCCTCTCAAACTACACAACAGAATTTCACGAAACCTTTTTAGATAATAAGGACATACTATGTAGTTGTGCATATCGACAGGAAATTACGATTCAATTCTTTTTCTAGGAGTTACGCCCCTTTGAACTTATTTACTTTAATGTACTACTACAACAGTTTGTCATAGCAACTCCTCTCAAACCACACAACAGAATTTCATGAAACCTTTTCAGATAATAAGGACATACTACGTAGATGTGCATATCAACAGGAAATTACGATTCAATTTTTTATTCAGGAGTTACGCCCCTTTGAACTTAATTGCCCAATATACTACTGCAACCTTTTGTCATTGCAACTCCTCTCAAACCACACAACAGAATTTCATGAAACCTTTTCAGATAATAAGGACATACTACGTAGATGTGCATATCGACCGGAAATTACGATTCAATTTTTATCCAGGAGTTACGCCCCTTTGAACTTATTTGCCCAATATACTATGCAACCTTTTGTCATCACAACTCCTCTCAAACCACACAACAGAATTTCATGAAACTGTGTAGATAATAAGGACATACTATGTAGATGTGCATATTGACAGGACATTATGAATCAATTTTTTTTTCTGATACAATTTTTTTTTCTTATACTTATTTTATTTCTTAATGACAATGTGGGGAAGTGGGGTATGTGAGCGCGCTCACTAAGGATCTTTCATTGCTCATGAAAATTGTTATCCAATGGCTATTGATAAATCCATACTAAATACCATAAAAAAGGAAGGTCCATGTCTCAACTGCCTGTGTAGCAAACATATTTTCATGCAGATTCAATTTGGTCAATTTTAAAAAAAATATTATCAACAGTTGCATTAAATCAAAATTGCCTGATTGGAACTTCTGTAATTTGAAGCAAACTGTTACAATCTGCAAAATTTATTTCAATACCTTTTAGTTTTCTAAAGAGTTGATAGATTTCAAACTGACCAGTTACTAGAAATTGGTTATATCACCAAGAAAAAACTGATGATGGAATGATAATAACAACCACTAGACTGGGGCATGAAGCAGGTTTATTAAGAATATTGTGGTGCTCACTTGTTTAACCTGGTTTATAGTGCTTAAGCTTAAGATTATTTTAGAAAAGAACAATATACATTACAAATTGACAAATGATAAATATTAGCTGAACAATGACTTTAAACATCCGACTGGTAAAGGTAGACATTACTAGATGAGATACAGTCGAACTACTATAAAATGGAAAATTTTAATAAGGGATTTATCATTGCTTATATTTAAGTCTAATTAATAAGACAAAACGGTCAAATATCCATTTGGGTAAATTTGATCTTTAAAGAAGATAAGAATCAAAGGTAAGAAAAACATGAAAATGAAACCTTATGAACTGGTTTGAACTGTACCTCTGCATGAGAAATACTGTGGATTCATTTTTATTCGTTGGATACCAATTTTCGTGGTTTTCGTGGGTACAGCTGAACCATGAAATTAAATGTTCAACGAAATACAAATTTATATCAGGTTGTATTCAGACTTTGACAAAACCACGAAATCACATATCCACGAAAAGGAAATTTTTTCGCAATCCACAAAAATTGGTACCCACGAAAATAAATGAATCCACAGTAACCCATTTTTCAGTATATCTGAGATATCTTTTTTTGAAATCACTTAAAAATTTATGAATTCTATACAATAAGCTTTGTCTTGAGAGATTAGCTGTCTTGAAAGACTTTATTTTATTGACAGAAGGGATTACAGAATCCAATATTTATTGTAATAAACAAGCACATAAGATATCAGATACTGGTTTTTGGATATGTTTTCATTGGGAATGCCAAAAACCTTGAACTAACTTTCATAGTGATCATTACTATTTAGATATGGATAATTTAAAACCTCTTTGATAAAATCCTTCAGAAATTTATTTTTTATGTCACAACCAATCAAACAGATTGCTCCAAATGTCTTTTCGTCCATTTCACTCTGATGTCAAAAACTTCCAAGAAACGTCCCATAACAGTCAATTTTTTTAACTAGTGGAAATAGATCA